CGACACCCATATAGGAGTAGCTTTGTGTGTATAGCACTAGCACTGTGTGTGTGACTGTGAACTACAGTAAGCAATACAATACATCTACAGTACATGTATTAACATAACTAGTGTTGGTAATTTTTCGCAATTCAATTTTCGATTGCCGCAATTGCGGAAAATTGCGTGAAATTGCTTGAAATTGCGCGCATGAGGGAATGTATAAAAATTAACTTTGAAAACGTTAAAAATTTTGTTTACAATAGATTAAGAGAATTTACTAATTTATTATTATTTTTACATGGTTTTTAGATGGCAACATTTTATGATAAAATAATTAAATTTTATATAATTAATTTATGTTTTTATTCATATTGCTTTGCCATTTAAATTTTGTTAATTTTTTAAAAATTATAAATTGTTCTATTTTACAATTGCGATTTTCGCAATCGAGCTTTTTGCAATTGCGGCAATTTCACGCAATTTCCGAGCAATGCAATTGCGCATTTTGCAATCGGTACATCACTAAACATAACACACTTAAACACATTATAAGCATTGATATCATATGTGAGACATAGGCAACACTTTTACAGAGAGTCTTAAATAGTGGCGGCGGAGATGCTATTAATTACAATTATATGGTCAACAATACATTGAATTAAAAAGTGACCAAGGGCAATGTTGTAGATGATTTTAAACTAAATAAAATTGTAATTGGTCATTTTTAAATTAATTGTATGATTTGCCAGATAAATGCAGTCGACTATCATTTATAAATTTTTTAAACAGTCGACTGTAAATTATTTAGCATATAATACAATTAATTAAAAAATGACCAATTACAATTTTATTTATTTTAAATTTATCTACAACATTGCCCTTGGTCACTTATTAATTCAACGTATTGTTCACCAGATAATTGTAATTAATAGCATCGCCGCCGACGCTGTTTAAGATTATCTGACACTTTCACAAAGTTTTCATAACATTTCAAAACTAATATTTCAAATTATTTGTCGCTATTGTCTCAATAAATACTATCCTTGAATTAAAATATATTTATAATAAAAATTTTGATTTAATTTAATTAAAACGGGCCGTAATTACGGGCTTTAAAGTCTTGTACTGTATAAGCAATGTAAAATTTTATTAGTTGATAATATATGCTTTATTTATTTTTTAATCGAGACATAATCATTATATACATTGTTGGTATGTTATTTGTAGATAATAGCTATTGACTAMATTTTGAATTCAATATAATAAATACTAATATTTTAATCAAATTAATAAATTCTTGTATGATAATTTATTAATATTCAAATTAATCAATTAATTGATTAATTAATTAAAAAAGTTTATATTATAATTACATTAGATAGTAAAATTTTAATTTTAAATTCAGTATAAGTAAATATAATATTGCATTTATTTAATCATATTTTTTTTAATTATCCATTTAATAATTTACAGTATTTATTTAATTACTTAAACGATTCAATTGTTTTTGCTGTATATTTACCAGCAGTAATATTTTTTATTATTATTAAATAATATTTTATTTTTAAAAATGTTAAATATTATTAAAGATATAAATAAATCAATTAAAAAAYAATAATATTTCCATTATTATCGTCAATGAATACATAGAATAATAATTGMCCGCAAATTATACCTAATTTATWTGTGATATTTACTTTAGAAAAAAATAAAAATAAGACCAACAAAACTAATTTGATTTAAAATCTAATAAAATATTTAGTTAATGTTAGTGACACTTATAATAGTTAGTTAAAATAAGAATCTTATGTTTTTTAGTTTATATWTTTTTTTATTTTTTTTTAATTTTATTGGTCTCTAAATACAAAAAATTATTTTTTCAATACTTTCGATACAAATGTTTTGATATCGTCGGCCACCAGTTTTGGCTCTTCAAATGCAGCGAAATGTCCGCCTCTGGGCATTGATGTGTATTGTATTAGATTTTCGTACTGATGTTTGGTCACAGAGTATGGAAATCGCATCAACTCATGGGGAAAGTCGGCCACAGCTGACGGCACACTGGCTTTGATGCGAAATCTTTRTTTTGTATACAAACAAAAAAAATAAGTATTTCGTTAAAACAATTTTTTTTTAAATATTTTAGTTTCAGTTAACTAACTCATGGATATTGAAGTCGATAAATAATAGCGGAACATTTTCCTTATAGTATCGCATACTTGAGGCCACATTATTGGACGTCCAGTATATCATAATATTGGTTAATAACTCGTCTAATGTAAACTTTTCGGTCAGTCCACCGTCAGGTTTGTCCAAAAAAGCTGGATTAGTCCAAACAGAAAACTTTTCCAATATATAAGCGGCCAAACCGACGGGACTGTCCAACATGGCYGCACCCACTGTGTCGGGACGGGTGGACTGAATGTGCATATATCCAGACTCTCGGACCATAAATCTGATATTTTCCCAAAACGGAAACATCTTTTTGTAGTCTGCCTCCGGATTATCGAAAACCAGTTGTGGAAAATATGCGCCGATTATTGATTTTATTAATGATAATCCTTTATTAGTTGATCCCGCCATTGTTGTGTGTAATCCACGAATACTTTAAAGTAAAAATAGTGAAATAATAAAAAAMAAMTATGAAAACAAATAATAAACTACAAGTGCTTACTGTTCCGGATATAGTATAGCCATAGTTCGGCCAATTAATGACCCGTAGTCACCCCCGTGAACAAAGAATGTCTTGTGATTAAGTCTTTCCATYAGTTTTACATATATACGGGCCGTTTGCGGTACATTAAAGCCTAATAATAATTAAGAAAACATATACTTAATAACATTTTTAATTACTATTTAATAGAAATCTAAAACTACGAACCCGTTTGATGCGGTGCTTCAGACCAACCATAACCAGGAATTGATGGACAGATCACTTCAAATGCCACACCATTTGTCGGTTCAGTCAATAATGGTATGGCCTTATAGTACTCCAATACAGATCCCGGCCATCCRTGACTTATCTAATTATTAAATTACAATAATTAACAAAATAAAATATAAAAAATATTTTTTAATGACAAACCAGAATAGGAACGACAGTTTTTGCCGGTTTYGATGGCTTTACGTGAATAAAGTGTATATCAATTCCATTGATTTGTGTCTTAAAGTGATTGAATTTGTTTAACTCTTTTTCCTGTTGACGCCAATCATACTTTGTTTTCCAGTAGTCGACCACTTGTTTCAGATAATTACCGTTAAAACCGTAATTAAATTGAGTGCCGGGTAGGGGCTCCACAAAACGGGCCAAATCTAGACGATGCTTGAGATCTGTCAATACCTCATCGGACACATTGATTGTGAACCTATTGATAGTCAATGGATCTTTAGGTATGGGTTCGCCGGCTATTCATTCAAAATAAAATTCAATATTTTTATTAAACATATTATATATATTAAATCAATACAAACCTTTCAATTGTTGTCTACCAAACCACTTCTCCGGTATAACTGGTACTTCGGGATCAGGTGTTAGAAATATCTGATAAACTACAGCACCAAAAGCAACTAGTATTGTAAGTGCAAAAAACTTTATAAAAATACCCATTTCTAACAAATTATTAAATAATAAAAAAAATATTAATTTTAATTTTAATAATATTTTATATATATGTATTGATTTGTTAGAATTTGTATTTATACTAAAATACAATTATCTTATTTAATCATATAGTGATTAAAAAATATATATTGTATATCAAATTAAATTAAAAAATTTACACTGATAAAATTTGTACTCTACAATGTCAATACAATAATGTTTTTACTGCATAAATGCACTTAAAATATATTAATATGAGTGCTTTTTTTTGGACAGTTATGTAAGTGACCTTCAAGTCGGTCTATTCACTATATTCAGTATTTATAATATTTATATATATATATAGATAGATAGATAGATAGAGAGAGAGAGAGAGAGAGAGAGAGAGAGAGAGAGAGAGAAAGATATATATATATATAATGATAGGGAAGAGGGTATAAAATAAGTTTCCCATTGGATGTCTATTGTTGATAATAAAAATAATTATTCACGACTAGTCTTAGATGARATTCTCTCCCTCTTTCCAAAAATTCCTTATATTCCCTGTTATACTCCCCTTGGAATTCCTAGGGAATCTATTTTCTCTTATTCTATTACCTATTAAACTCTAAACTTATGTATACTAAGATTTSAATACTAAATGTTGTATTAAACTGTAAACTTTTGAGTGTTATTGTCAAATAGTATTAATAAATTTATTGAATTTATTTTTAAATTTTTATAAATATTTTTGTTGTTGTTATAAAATATTTAAGTTTTTTTTACTATTTATTGTAATAATAWTAAATATATATATATTTCCTATAAAAGTGAGAGAAAATAGAATATTTTCTGGAAAAATTTTAAGGGATTTTTTTAGGAAACTTTCCTGTCTGGGAATATTCATCGAATTTTGTTTATGACTAAAAATTAAAATAATTACTGTTTATTTAATTTTAATTATTTTTCATTATTTTTCATTTTATTTCATTTTATTTTACTTTATTGATAATACAGTTTTATTTATCGAAACATTTAGAAAACAGTTTTTTACAACAACAACAAAATTATTTTGACCATGACCAATTAAGATATAATAAAAAAATAGATCAGATATATATWTATATATAGTAAACTTTATATTTTTTACAGTATGTTTGATTAAACCAAAAATATTAAAATTTAAAATAMAGAAAACTTGAAAATTTGCATAAATTAACTGAAATATAATTCAATTATTTTTACAAAACTACTAATAAAATATTATTATTTACTACAATAAAGAAAATGTRTAAATATTTTTTTTTGTTTAAATTAATTGATTTATTTTAAAATATAAAATACTACTAATACAAAAAAATTTTTTTAGTATACAGAATTTATAATAGTTTTTTATATCCATAAAAAAATAATCCGTAAAAATACATAATAATAATAATGTATTACTAAAATTCAACAAACTTTTGAATGTCTCCAATATTGATGACACTACCGGTGCCATAGATTTTGACGGCATTATCACCGTTAATACAAATRCCGGCAAACGAGACAACAATTGATTCGTTTGGCAATAATTCGGTCGATTCTCTTCTGTTATCTCTTAAGTGTTGTTTAGTTCGGATCCATTCAATGGATGATTTGCTGTCGATGACAACAAATCCGTGTCCTTAAAAAGACATAAATATYATCAAAATATTCATAATGTTTGGTTATATCTATGTATACCTAATACTAGAGTTAGATTATTGTCATAWCTATGGCCGTTGTCATCGTTGACATCATCGGGAACAACAAAAAGAGATCCTTTTTCGCCAACAATAATCAAATGATAGCCAMCAYTGATATACTGTTTGACTTCATTATTGTCGACCAGTTTCTCAAGTTTACCACTTTTACCAATTTTGATGCCTCTCTGACATACAGAAGATAGTTGACTGTTTGGCACATACTTTGGCAAAACTGTTGAGATTTGACCACAAATTCTGGCCACACTTTTGTCGACAATCACACCGTACAGATTGTCCTTACAGTTGACCACATAAGCTCTGACTGGTCTTTCATTGACAATATTATTGATTTTGTTGATCTGATCCAAAGTAAACGACAATTCATATTCAGACTCGTCATCGCTATCACTGTCGCTGACATTATTTCTTATAGACAAGTGTTCATTGATTTGTTTCAATTGCATAAATGAATAGCCAATCAAATGGAGAACATCATCAATGGATCCATTGATCACTTTGACTACTCTATTGATAGCATAGTTGTCTTGAGAGCCGCCGATATCTGATATCTGTCTCAGTTGTTGTTTGGCGTAAACAGTTGTACGATATCTTACGGACAACTTTTTTGGTGACATTTTATTCTTTGAAAATTTTAAATTTCAATTTGTGGTCACAACTGGTTATTGAKATATTGTTAGTCGCGTAATGTATAACTACATGCAATCAATGCAATGCTATATAAATGCAAATTAATTGATAAAAAAAAGTTTTTAAAATATTTATTTTTTTATTAAATAGACTTAAATRTCAAACTTAATAAATAACTTATTAATACAATGAAAATTCAACTTAAAAATAATATCAATAAAAATTTAATAAATGCTATTCAATATTTAATAATATTTAAAAAATAAAATCATTTARACATCAATTTATTTATTATTATCAACACCTAGTAGTGTATAACTAATTTTTATTTTTCTAAAAAAAGATGTTTTTTATTATTACTGTATATTACATAGAATATATTGGAAAAATAAATTTATTTAAAAAAAATTAAAAATCCCCCAAAAAAARTGTCTAGGACACCCGGTATTCCCAGGTGGTCTCCCTCCCAAGTACTAACCGGGCTCGACGCTGCTTAACTTCGGTGATCGAACGAGAACCGGTGCTTTCAGCGTGATATGGCCCTAGACATTATACATATAACAATATATACTATTTAAATAATATACTACCCTGTTTAAATAAGCTATATTAATAATATTATTAGCTAGCTTAACATAAAATTAACCATGWTTAGATTTTTWTTAAAAAAACAAATTTTCTCATAATAATAATAATAAAGTAGTGTGTATTATAAGGYAACAMAAAAATTTTACATTTATTATAAACACAAACGTTATTTGTATGTACAGTCTATAGGCTATTGACTATTGACTGTATATTATTTGCGCCAAAAAAATATTGTAATAAATATGTGTTTACATTGTTTGCATGCAATACTAAATAAACTGTTTATGTAATCAATTAATTAATATTCAAAATTAATTAATTAATTAATGATTTTTATATATTATAATCGCATTATTATATATTGTTTTTAATATAGTGTTGTTATAAAATATAAATAATAAATACAAAAAAATATTGAATTTATTTATTTAATTTGTTTTGCAATTTATATTGAATTCAAATGTAATTTTGAATTAATTGATTCAATTGTTTTGTTTGTTTGTTTGTAAACAACAATATTATTGTTTAGTATATAATAATATCATAACATTTRTTGATTGACAATGACTTCAATGGCCAGCGATATGAAYCGCAAACGGAAGAACCCGTCGCCGAACAAASCAAACGAAGACAAAAGAAGTCGATTGTCGGCGCCGTTGGACAGCCTTTGGGTCGACAAATACCGGCCCGAGTCGACCAAACTGGTGATTGGCCAACAGGGCGACAAAAGTTGTGTCAACAAACTGATCAAATGGTTGTCCAATTGGCAAAACAATTTGGATAAGAAGCCGGCCTTCAACAGCAGGTTTGGCTCGGATGATGGCCAAGGATTTCGTGCGGCACTGCTTAGCGGTCCGCCCGGTGTCGGCAAGACTACGTCGGCTCAGTTGRTCTGCAAAGAGCTTGGCTACGACTTTGTCGAATTGAATGCATCCGATTCGCGAAGTAAGCGTACGCTCGACGTAGTGGTCAAAGAGTTGTTGCAAAAYACAACACTCACTAATTTYTTCACCAAATCGGCGACCAAACACACGGTTACYGCCAAACATGTGGTCATTATGGACGAAGTTGACGGTATGGCCGGCAATGAGGACAGAGGAGGCGTTGCTGAACTGATCCAATTGATTAAATCGACTAAAGTGCCCATCATTTGTATTTGCAACGATAGATCACATCCGAAGATGCGATCACTTGTCAGCTATTGTTTTGATTTACGATTTTCTAAGCCACGCATCGAACAGATCAAAGGGCCGATGATGTCCATCGCCTATAAGGAAGGCATACAGATTGCGCCAAACGTTTTGCATGAACTCATTGTCAGCTCCAACCAAGACATTCGTCAAGTATTGCACAACTTGTCGCTGTTGGGCACCGGAACCAAACGTATTCAAAATCTAATGTCCGAAAAGTCTGTTAAAGATGTTAAACTGGTATTTATTTTCATTGATATGATTGAATATATATTATCTATTATTTATATATATATATATATTGTATATATTTTTTTAATTTTCAAAATATTTTAGGGACCTTTTGAAGCCGTACGCAAAGTGTTTACCGCCGGCGATGATTATAGACAAATGAGTTTTGCTGATAAATCGGATCTATTTTTCTGTGACTATTCGCTGATGCCTTTGTTTAACTTTGAGAACTACTGTCTCGTGAATCCAACGAATGCAAAGTATTATTATTTTTTATCAATAATTATTTTATTAGTTATTAGTTTTTTTTATTGTTTCAATTGGCAAATAATTGGTTTTTATTTTCTTGAATCAAAAGAACTGATAGTCAAAAACTAAAAATGGCGTCAAAAACGATAGAAGCTCTGGCTTTTGGCGATATTATTGAGAAACAGATTCGCGGTTCAAATAACTGGAGTCTGTTGCCACTGCAGGCAGCCTTTGCCAGTGTTATGCCCGGCGCTTACATGAACGGCCATATGGGCGGCCAAATAAACTTTCCGAGTTTTATGGGCAAACTGTCGACAACTAACAAACGAAATCGTTTGCTCCAAGAGTTGAAAATGCATATGAATTTGAAGATTAGCGGCAGTAAGACTGCACTGAATCTCGATTATTTGGAACCGTTAAGAGATTCAATTATCGAACCGTTGGTAACTAATGGCACCGGAGGAGTACCGAACAGTATTGAAAAGTTGGAAACCTATTGTTTGAGACGCGAAGACATTGAATCGATGATTGAGTTAACCCTTTGGAACAATCAAAAGGATCCCATGAGTCGAGTGGATAGTAAAGTGAAGGCAGCGCTCACTCGTGCCTACAATAAGGAGGGCTTTTGTTTGCCATACTCTTTGGGAACGACAACAAAAGGAAAGAAAGGTAAATCAGCTGTTGATTTGAATAATGAAATGGAAGGTAATGAAGATGATGGCACTGCTGATGATGGCGATGAAGATGATGATAATGATGATGTCGCTGCCGATGCCATGATTAAGGCAAAGAAGACGAAGAAAGCGACGGGAAAAGAGACTAAAACAAAACCAAATAAAACAAAGAAATCGGAGACCAATGATAAAGAAGGGAAAAGAAAACAGAAAAATGAGTCCATAAGTAAAGATAAGAAAAATGAAGTGAAAGTTGAATCGCCAGTTAAAACACCGATAAAGTCTCGGATAAAATCACCTAAAAAACCATTGAAAAAGTCATCGCCTATAAAGTCATCAAAACAATCGCCGAAAAAGATAASCCGAGAGTCGCCTAAAAAGACAGTTATAAAATCACCGGAAAAGGTAACAAAAGAAACAAATAAAAAGAAATCAAAAGAGACGACAAAAGAAATGACAAAAGAAACAAATAAAAAGACATTGAAAGAGACGACAATAGAGACAAATAAAAAGGCATCGAAAGAGACGACAAAAGAGACAAATAAAAAGGCATCGAAAGAGACGACAAAAGAGACAAATAAAAAGGCATCGAACGGATACAAGAAGTCACCGCAAAAGAGTCCAACAAAAACAAGTGAACAATTAAATGGAAAGAAGAATAAAACTAAAGCCGAACCAAAGTCTGAGWCTAAAAGTGATAGTAAACAGAAGAAAACTCCCGAAAACAAGTCAACAACAACGGCATCAAAGGGAAGACAGTTAACATTAAATGCTTTTTTCTCCAGAAAATAATAATTAAAATTCATAATTATTATTGTTTTTTTTTCTTCATTATTATCGTTAAAGTTATAAYTAATTAATCAATAACTATATATTAATTTAGTTGTACTGAATTTTTGAATCTATTATATATATATATATATGATATGTTCGTATAATTATTAATATTTTCATAAAATATTTTTTAAAGTTATTTGTTTTGAAACACAAATTATTATAAATAAATTGATAATTAATGTATGACTTGATAAACAAAATAAATTATTTTAATATTTACTGATGATATGATTATATTATTTTTGAAAAAAATGATTYAATACATAAACCGGTAGTTTATTCGGGACTCCAATAGTCGGCAACGTCTTCGTAGGCAATCTTAACGAACAGAGTGGCCGATATTATCGGCTGGTTGTGCTCATCGACCAAACGTATTACACGATAGCCTAATAATAAAAAAAATTATAAAACCAATGTTCAATACTCGGAGTTCAGCATACCTTCCATAATRGCGGCAAARGTAAGCATATATTGGCCGAGTAGTGCATTCTTGCCGGTCTTGGACTCGTCGATCACCTGGAAGTGTATGAACGCCATCTCCGGTAARCGTAGCAAAAAATTACAACTTTCGTCCCAAATCGGATTAAAGCCTATTATTTTTTTGGATATCATAAGCACCGGTATGTTAGTCATTATTCTGTATATGTGTCTATCATTTAATTTCATACCATTATTYTTAACCGGTTGTGTTTTGTAGACAAACTTATCGGCCGAATGTCCATAGACTCTGAGCTTAACATATGGATCKATAATCTCGCCCTCGAATCCCTTACCCGGTTTCGGTATGTGCTGTCCACTGATTATCTGTATGACTACTTTTTTCAGTTTACCATTTGGTCCGTTCCGTACCGAACTGCGTACACTAGTATTACCGTATTGGTGACCCCGGCGCAAGTATTCCGATTTCAGTACATAACCGCACCGGCCGTTCATTGCGAACAATGCGTCGTTAAACAGCATCGACCGGTCGCAGGTCTGGTAGTTGAGTGCAACCAACTGTGCKCCCATATTCCAGTGTACAATCGGGTCATAGTTGCTTGAGTCGGTTCGGATACCTTTCGGGTATATACGACTCAAATGATTTTTATTAAACCGCACGTAATCTTCGCTTAGTTTCTTAATTTTTGTAAAACCCAATGACTTTGTCTCAACAAATGATACCATTTCCCAGAATTTCCCTAAAAATATATATAACAAAAATTATAGTTAAATTTTTTTTTATATATTTTGGAAAAATATTTATTTTTTTTTAAATTACAATTTTTGAAACATTTGGTAAATTCCGTAAACTTTTTTGCCACACAATAGACAACCAAATCTGAGAATTCTTTGGCTAATTTAATCTAAAAAATATTAATTAATTAATTAAGTTTTTATTGTAACTGATTTTTTATAACCAAAATTATTTATATTTATAATTTTAAAAAACTAACTTTTTTAGAAATGGCCATATAATCAGGCATTTGTGGCGCCGGTGTCGAGTAGGACATAGCCAGCGCTTTGTGTCCCGATTTGGTGGCCAGCGATTGATCGTTATTCTTGTTTTCTTTGCCGGCGTACGTATTATTTCTGATCATACCGTTGTTGACACGTTTTTTTGTCAACTCATCGTCGACTTCATCGACGGGATCGTTGTCRCTATCATCAGATTCGTTRTCATTTCCATTTTTAACCACTTCCTCATCAGCACCATCATCGTCATCATCACTGTCCTCATTATCAGAAGACGCCGACTCCAGTATTTCATCAATAACTTGTGTCTCCTCCTCCTCYTCCTCATCGCCGTTATCTTCACTTTCCGTTTGTCTTTCAGCAATAGTATCATTGATTAATTTGGTTTTGAGTGACAACTTCTTTGTTTTGTTAGCTGTGGGCAATTTTTTGCCCTTAACTATAATCTTACGGACCAACTGTTCAGGTGATGGCCAATGTTTATCATAATCGTCCAGTCGTTTTGTACACAAATAATCTATGAATTTATTAATATATAAAAATAACTAACATTTTTGTTGATGACATATACCTCCTAATATATCTTCAAACAGCTTAGCCATAACCACCTGTTGTTCAACACTGCAATGATTTTCCATTGATAATATCAATGGAAACTGTGACTTTTTGAACGCATATCTGTGTATTGTTTTCAGTACATCCCGTAAAAGTATTTTGGTGGTCAATGTATAGCCGTGATAGATGATAGGTTCGCCATCATCGCCGTCCCAGACATCCARTTCAACGCATCGACAGCCTCTTTCCAGTGCCAGCCTATAGGCTTCAATACTGCTGGCGCCAGTCAACTGTCCCATCATTAAATAACTATAGATTAAGTAATATCGTATTTATATATTATATTAGTTGACTAATTAGTTTAATAGTAAAACAATTTTTTATATAATTTATATATACGTGTTATGAGATGTGGCGATATAATAATGAGACAATGGTTGAGACATATCCATACATACGATACGATGACTTCTATTGAATATATCGAAATCAATTGAATTAAACAAGTTTTTGAAACCTATTATTGGATACCAAACAACAAAAAWAATWAAGWTTTAAATGATATAAAAATATATCAAAAAATATAATTTTGTTTTTTATATATATGATTACCTTTGATGGACATATAGCCCGGGTTTTCAGTTGCTTGCGGTTCATATCGTTTGATATAAGCCTCACAGTCTTCGATGGTAGCGTTGGTCATCTTTTGCTCGGTTTTCAAAAAATACTGTAACTCTTCGGGACCCATAATACAGGTATTATTTACTGAATATCTAGATTTATCACATTTTTTATAATATATAAATTGTAATGAAATTTTTTTACAGCAATAAATAAATAAATAAATCCATACTTTTTAAATATTGTGTCCAATTCTGGTCTCTCATTGATTAGTTCATAAAATTTGAAAAATTCATCCATATTTAGATTGTCGTCGCCTTTCATTTCGCGTAAATTTAGTTTTTTCTTATGTGTCATCTATTTATTTAAAAAAAATCAATCAACAAATAAAATGAATATATTATAATAAAAATTAGAAACAAAAAAAATATAAAAAATTAGAAACAAAAAAAATATAAAAAATTAGAAACAAAAAAAATATAAATAATTAATTAATTACATTAAATAAGGCTTTTGCGTGTTTCCTATTCATCGATATATTCATATGATTCACCAGATCGTAGACTTCATCGAAACTCAAGTTTCCATTAGAGTTGCGATCGGCCTCTCGGAACTGTTGCCGTARCCAACTGTCCAATAAATATAAATGTTTGATTTTTTTTATTATTGTTGTTTAAATTAAAAAATATATTTTTTTCAATTTGTCATACACTTCGTCCTCATTTTCACGGGTCTGGTTCTTGTAGGTAGCAATCAAATAGCTAAGACCTTTGACCCACAAGTCCCTGACTTCGGTGTTTGGCGCCACCAGGTCTTCGGTTTCGGCACCGCTGTCGAAGACCAGCGAAAAGCAGTTATCAGCTGTCAATTCGGGCAAATCTTTCGGCCCRATTGAGGCGTGCAGTTTGCGCCGAAAACGGGACTCAATTATATTGAAACGATCCGATAGCCAACCYTTACGYACTTCGGACAGATCGCACAAATCGACTGGAAATATATCAACAATTTTTGTTGTTGTTTTTGTTGTTGAGTATAGATTGAAAACATAATAAATGATTGAATAATATATTAAATAACTAACTGTACGGCACTTCCCGGCACAAGTAGGCCTTAATTGATGGCTCGTAAAACAGTCTCATATTATTCAAATCTATATGATATCGTCGGGCATAAAACTTGTCCACTGACCGTACCTTATGGAGTACAGTGCGCACAGTTAGCTGAGCTATTAAATCCTCGGTCGGTGTATTGGCTATTAATTGATTGATTAATTATTATTATAAAATTTCTTTTTTTATTATTATTTTTTTGTTTTAAAATTGCTAACTAATCCATACCGTCAAACAAATCTTTGAAACTTTTAATTTGCATCCGACGGCGCTTGCGGTCAGCGGCAGCTGTGATAAAAAAATTAAAAAATTATAATTAAAGGGTTATTAAAAAATTATATTYATATAATTATTTATATTTCAAATATTCAGTCYAAGATTTATCCAGAAGCTAATAGTTAATGTTTTTAYGATTATGATTATTATTATTATTATTATAAGGTTTAAAAAAAAATCAACTGCGTTTATTATACTTTACAAATCACCATGTACAAAATCMTAGATAATATCTAATTAAATAATAATAATAATATACTAGGTAATTTTTTAGAATTAAATAACTARTATGAAATTAATCAGATTTAAAAATTACATATCAGATGAGTCATATAAAAATTTCAATATCAATTACCATCATTAGTGTCCACTGTATTATCATTTTGTAGGCTATCATCGGCTATCAACCTCAGTGCTGAYGGACTTTCCATTTCCTTACATATATTATTACTCTAATACTGTTTGTAAGGGGAACTGGAGGTTTTTTTGAACACTTGTATCACACAAAACAATTTAAATATACTCTCTATAGTTATATAATAATTTTCACAATTATAAATACCGACAATTAAGCACTTATTTAATTAAATAAAAAATAATTGATAATAAAAATAATACTAATAATAGTTGTTAACAAATATATAATACAATATAAATTTGTTGGTAATTTATAATATACTGTAATATGTTATGTGATAAAAAACGATTAAGTTTTGTTATACTTTTTTATTATTTTATTTATATCAATAGTGTCATAGAGATTTGAAACACAACTATTAATAAAAAAATATTAATAATTATAATATAAATAAAATCATTTTCACGTTTTTCCTGATAACATTGTAATGTATAAAATTATAACATTATAAATTTATTATTATTATTAAATATTAAATATTATTATTCAATTTAAATGTCATATAAAAAGCGTATCAAACATTAATACATATGTAAATACAATAAATACAATACTGTATTATCAATGACCTGTATATATGATAGTATATACTATACTTCATTTTTTTTTATTAAATCATATATTACTTTGATTTGTAAATAAATTTTTTTATAATTTTTTTTTATTGATTATACTATAAAGCATTTACAGTGAAATATAAAACTATTAACTCATATACAAGTAATAAATAAAATAAAARCTAAATAAATAAATTGATTTCAAGTGTCAGTGCAAAAAGTGTAATATTAAGATGATTAGCAATTTTGTTATTAGAAAACTATTATATATATATATATATATATATATATATATATATATTGTATAATACTGTATCATATTATTTGATATGAAAAGTTAATTTATAAGGTAACTAAACGTAATGATTACAAATATAATTTTATCATAAAATTTATACATTATTATATATTTATCATAATTTATAATACTGTAACTACACTGTAGTGTACTGTATAGAGAGGAATAGTATCTATAATATAAAAACAGGGAGAGTCGTTCAATTAAAAAAAGTGTTAATTTATTATATAATTAAAGTTGATAATTTATATAAATTTATACTACTGTATCAAACAGTATATCATAAATTATATTCTATAGATAATAAAAGTTCACAATAGTATTTTTATTAATTAAACACACATTTTTATTAACAAAATATTTTAAATAAGATTTTATAAATAGAAATTTGGTAGTATTGCTATATAAAAGTAAAATAAAATAATTAAAAATAAATTAAAAAATAATAGAAACAGAAATTTTATTGATATTTATGAAAAATATTGTCATCAAAATGTTATTGTTATTAAATAATAATTTTTTCATAATAATTTAATTAATTTCGAAAATATAAATAAATCGAAAATAATATATATATATAAATGGAAAATAAATTGATATTTTTATTATTATCCAAAGCTCATATGCTTATAATTTCAACATTATTATAAAATACAATTTACAAAAATTGTTATTATTAAGTTTAAAATAATAATATAATTTACCGGTAATATCTACTTTTATAATTAAATTATGAAGTTTTTAAATATTGGCAATACATAATACAAGCACTTTTATACTTAACAATATAAAGTACTATTATAAAAAATATTACCGGTAAACTAAAAATAATTAAAAAAATCACTTAAAAAACACAAAATATACCGATAAKTAYTTATAAATATTTTTTGTTTTTTATGGTTGRACCGCTTTTTGGTGCACTTGTTTCATATGTTTAATCATATTAGCATTGTTTGCTGATCGGTACTCACAACCTGGCCACCGGCAAGCGTGCGGCTTCAAGTTATTATGAATGTTCAGATGATCTTTGAGAAATGTCGCCAAACGAAACCGTTTGTTACACTGTGGCCAATGACAGGCAAACGGTTTTACACCCGTATGGGTGCTCCGATGCAGTTTGAAATGTATGCCAATCCACTCGCAACCGGGCCAATCGCACCCGACCTGTACCCGATTGTAGACACGTTTGTAATTATGGACATCGATACGGTGTTTGACAATCTCGCTGTTCGTATAGAACTTTTCGGTACACCGTTTGACTGGACACCGGAGTGTAGGTTCACTTTTGTGTTGAGCAATATGTCGTTTCAATGATCGGGGATCTTTGAACGGTCGGTGACAGACATCGCAAACGACAACACCGGTATCGATATGTGTTCTCAAATGCATATCCAATGCTTGTTTTGTTTTGAGTGCCCGACGACAGTCATCGTGTGTACAAATGAATTGTCGTTCAACTGAATGCTTCCTCTCGTGCTGTTTGAGACGACTGGTACCGAAACATTCAAAATCGCAACCGTCGTAATCGCATTTGATTGAATTGTTAAACTTTTTGCCGTGAATGGCCATCTGATGATTCTTCAGATCGCAGTACAGTTGATAGGCTTTGTCGCAGTCGGCAAAGTCGCAGATTTTGTCAAATTTACGGATTCGTTTCTTCGGTCCGCCAACCGATTGTTTCTTAGCTTTCGGTGCGGAATTGTCAGCCGCTATCCGATTATGTCGACCACTTTGGTTAGCCTTTTGCGTACGAGATTTTTTACCCGAATTTTGCTTGTGTTTTGCCGAATGAACTTTCAGAGCTAATTGTGTCTTAAATCGTTGRYYACAATCATCAAACTTGCAGACAATCTTTGCAACGTTTTTGTGACTACATTTGTGTCTTAGTAGTGACGGCTCTGATTTGAAMGCTCGATGGCATCCAATGTGATCGCAGACAAACGGCTTGTCTTCGTCATCGGCTAAGTGACWAACAGCCAAATGTTGCCGAAGATCTGCATCTGTCTGACACCTAAACAGACAGTCAGTGTAAAGACAGGCAATAGGTTTCTCATCCAAAGCGGTTACATCAATGCTGTTTTGTGTCAACAACTTATCATCACTTATTGTTGTTGTTGWTGTGGAAGWCTCGTTGGTAGAAAATTGGTGGCCATTGTTACCGACATCGGTGGTCACATTGCCTTTGCATCGTGACTGGTGTTTGACAAGTGATTTGAAATATTTGAATGACTTTTGACAACCATTTTCGGGACATTTATGTCTTTTAGCAGTCGTTGTTGTTGTTGTTGTCGATGTCAGGCTTTCATATACTACTTTTTCAACAACTTTATGATAATTATCACCAAATGTTTGGTTATCTTCTGTTTTAATATCATCTGAATTACATAAACCTATCGACGGACTAAATAATTGCTCTCTACTGTCACTAATGTCTTCTGTTTTAATATCCACGACATGACTGTCTTCTTCATAAACTTTATCTATCAATTGGATCCCATTTTGTGGCCACAAATCAGTTAATTGATTAAAATTTTTATCTCGTCTTTGATCGCAAATATAATTCAATTGATGTCTCAATTGGTTGAACTTGTCTTCAGTGTTCAGTTGTGTCTCAAACTTCTTGTAAATCAAATTCAATTCTGATTTCAATTTATCCAAAATATTCAGACATTTGTTGGCAAACAATAACTCTTTGAGTAGTCGTTTGTTTTCACTCCACAATTGATCCAAAATGTCATCAATTGTCACAACCATTGATGTCATCATTCATTCAATACATTCATTCAATAAATTGTTTTAATTTGTAATACAATTGCTATTCAATTGACTAATAATTTGTTTGTCAGTTAWCTAACACTTTAATCATATGTTTTGTTTTGTTATGTAAACATTGAATGCTAGGGACTGTCAATACATTAAAAATATGATATTATTAAAATAATTTAAACACTACAGGTCAGGACTAAAATATGGCAACAATTATTTATGTATAGAAAAAACACTCAAATTTAAATATTATATATATATATATTTATTTATTGTCGATTATATATCTTGTATTATAAAAATAAATGATATATTAATATTTTAATATAAGTATCTGAATATAGGATCTGAATGTATGCTATATGTTATATAATACTGTATATACAATGACAAGATTTAACAGGATCTTGCAGGACGGGACGGGAAGATTTATTTGATATTTAATTTATTTATAAGATAGGAACAGTACAGGACAGGACAAGACGGGATAAGATGAGATTTTGAGCTCAACTTACACCACTAGTATGAATACAACTAATAAAATAATAAATGTTTAGATATATTTAGTAAATATCAATTTCAAAAAACGATTTAAATTATTTATTTTATTAATAAATCAAATTAAAATTATTATAATTATAATTATTATCCACTATTGATGATGGATTTGTTTCATATGTTTATTAATATTTGAATTACTAGCGCACCGGTACTCACATCCCGGCCAACGACAAGCATATGGTTTAACATTGTTGTGAATATTCATGTGTTCAATGAGTTTTTGTTTGCCGGTAAACCGTTTACCACATTCAGGCCAATGACACGGAAAATTTTTCTCACCCGTATGGACTAACTTATGGCGTGCCAGTGCTTGTCCATAATAGTCACAACCCGGCCAATCGCACTGTTTGTATGGTTTAGGCTTTTTCCTAATTTTACGTTTATGATCAACGATACGATGTCTATAAATTTCTTTATCCGTATAAAACAGTTGCCGACAATCCTTTTCGCGACATTTGAGTGTCGGTTCCGATCGATGTTCGGCCAAATGACGGTTATATTGTGTCTTAAATTTGAATGCTTTGGAACAGTCAGCGATCGGACAAACAAATTGTTTGTTTGTCGTGTGTTTACTTAACTTATGAAACCTAAATGAATACAATGAAGCCGTCTGATAGTTACAATCATTGTAATCACATTTGTACGGCAATTCCACACCTGATCCGTGTTCTTTCATTTGGTGAAAGACATATGATTTCTGGCATTTGTACTTTTTGTCGCATTGAGGACAAGTGACTACACAAGTCATCTGATGTTTTTTATACTTCCGACTCGTTTTGAATGTCATCTGACAATCACTATTCAGACACTTATATCCTCCCGGTTTAGACCGTATTACTCTTTGTTTGTCTAACTGGTCATTGTTTTTGTCATTAATTGATTTTCTTTTTCGACTTTTCGGTTGTTTTCTCTTTGTTTTTATTAGTATTTCATTGTTTTTCTTTTCACTATCTGTTAGGCCTTTCAGTTGACACTTGTTTTTCTTGAAATCATTTTTAGTCAGCAAATCAGCGTTTTGTTGATTAATACAATTATCTTGAAATACCAATTGTTTCTTATGACTGTAAAACATGTGATCCATTAAACCATTTCGTGTCAAAAATTTGTTGTCACAGTCCAGACACTTGTATTCAATAATATTATCCTTTTTATTACAAATCAATGAAAGATTAATTGTCTTATTGTTTGACTGATGTTTCATACTATCTTTATCTCTGTCTTCAGTTAATATGTGGTCATCTTTGGTCTCATTTTCTATAATTTCTGTATTATTTGATTGATTTATTTGAACTATATTTTTATTTTCTTCACATCTGATATTATCATTAAATTGGATCCTATTATTCATCACTTCATTGTTCTCTATATTAATATATGTATTGGAATTGTCTTGTCTTTCATCTTCATCTACGTCTTCATCCAAATCATTGTCAAAATCTTGTGTATCACTCATATCATCACTGATTATGTCATTCATTGTTGTCTTTGATTCATAACTTTGTTCATTATCTTCATCTAAGTTGACATCATTTAAATGCAATCCTTTATCTCGTCTTTGATCGCAAATATAATTCAATTGATGTCTCAAATGTTTGAACTTGTCTTCAGTGATGAGTTGTTTCTCAAACTTCTTGTAAATCAAATTCAATTCAGTTTTCAATTCATCCAAAATATTCAGACATTTGTTGGCAAACAATAACTCTTTGAGAAGTCGTTTGTTTTCACTCCACAATTGATCCAAAATGTCATCAATTGTCACAACTATTGATGTCATCATTCAATGTATTCATACAATCACTCAATGATTGTAAACATAATTCAAATTCAATTCAATATTTATCTTAATATTTATAACACTTTAATCATATGTTTTGTTTGTTATGTAAACATTGATTGCGAGGGACTGTTAATGCATTGAAAATAATAAATTATTTAAAATCTTACAAAAAAAGAGTACAATTATTAAAAGCTTTAATTGAAAACAATAATTAATTTTAAATACTTTTAATACTTTTAAATTATTAAAAACATAGATAGAGATAAAAATAGCTTTTACATTAAAAATCAATAGTTAAATAATTAATATTATCATATTTATTAATTAATGATTTATACATAAATTTATAATCAATGTAATTGATGTTAAATTTAAAAAAATAATACATGTTATAAAAAAATTTTAATAAAATTATATTCACACAATAATTGTAAAATAAATATTTTAAATAAAAAACAGTAATTCATATCAATTATTATTATTATTATTATTATTCACTATTTTTGGTGCACTTGTTTCTGATGTTTCCAAATGTTTGAATGACTGGCGCTTCGGTAGTCACACCCTGGCCACCGACACTCAAACGGTTTAACATTATTGTGGATATTCATATGTTCATCAAGTTTACACTTTTCGGCAAAGCGTTTGTCACACTGTGGCCAAAAACATTGATAATTTTTCTGACCCGTGTGGACAATCTTGTGGCGCATCACTGACGGTCCATAGTAGTCACAACCGGGCCAATCGCATCGTTTGTATCGTTTTTCCCGACTAATGCCAAACTTGCGCTTATGGACATCAATGCGATGTCTCTTAATGGCAATATCCGAGTAAAACAGTTGCCAACAATTTTTTTCTGGACAACAAAGCGTCGGTTCCGACTTATGTTCGGCCAAATGACGACTGTGCGCTGATTTATGTTTGAATCGTTTCTCACAGCCGTCGACATTGCATATGTAAAGCTGTTCCGAATGGATCTGTCGATGGATATCAAGAGTGTGACTGGTTTTGAATGACTTACCGCAGCCGTCGATATTGCAGACAAACGGCCTGTCAATCGAGTGTTTAACCATATGTTTGCGTAACATATACTCTTTGGGCGACCGATAGTCACAGCCATCGTAATCACATTTGAACATAAACTCTGATTTGATATCATGTGCTCTCATCTGATGGTAAACATATGATTGTTGACATCTGTACTTCTTGTGACACAATCCACACTTTACTATACATGTCTTCTGATGTTTCTTATAGTTGCGAATTGTAGTGAATGTCTTCTGACAATCGCTATTCAGACAGTGATATCTATTAGATCTAAACCATGGTTTCAGTTCTTTGGCGACAATATTCTGGACATTCTTTGTTTTCTTTACTTTCAAATCATTTGTCTTATATTTTTTGGTCACTTTGTTGTCATCTTTTCTCTTATTGTCGTCAAGTATTGGTGGACTTACTGTTTGTTTTCTTGTATTTCTTTTAGTCACCACTATATGTGTGTTATTGCCCTCTTCTGACTTCAATTTGATCCTACAATTCAGCACTTCTTCTAATAATTTAAACTCATGTTTGTCTTCTCCATCAATGATTTCTTTATATTTGTCAAATAATTTCATCAAAAATATCTTCAATTTGTTTGCAAACAACAATTCATCGACAAGTCGTTTGTTTTCATTCCACAACTGATCCAAAATGTCATCAATTGTCACAACCATTGATGTCATCATTCATTCAATATATTCATTCAATAAATTGTTTTAATTTGTAATACAATTGACATTCAATTGACTAATAATTTGTTTGTCAGTTAACTAACACTTCAATCATATGTTTTGTTTGTTAGTAAACATTGATTGTAAGGGACTGTCAATGCATTGAAATACCACAAAAAATATATTGTATTTACTGTTTAGTCTATTATACAGTAATATTAAACTTATATAATATTAATAATATCTATATTTAAAAATTAATAAAAAAAATTCAATCATAATTATTACATATTAGATTTATTTATCATTAATGATAGCATTAATACAACTAATACAATAATAAATAACAAATGTTAAGAGATATTTTTTACAGTATAAAAATATTAGTTTTTAATTATTATTTTTTAATTAAAAAAATTAAATCATAATTATTATTATTATCCTCTATTGATGGTGAACTTGTTTCATATGTTTATTAATATTTGAATGATGAGCGCACCGGTACTCACATCCCGGCCAACGACAAGCATATGGTTTAACATTGTTATGAATATTCATGTGATGATTGAGTTTTTGTTTCTCGGAAAATCGTTTACCACATTCAGGCCAATCACAATGAAAATTTTTCTCACCCGTGTGGACACGCGAGTGCCGTATCAGTTCTATACCATAATAGTCACAACCGGGCCAATCGCACCGTTTGTATGGTCTAATCAAATTTTTTTTAACTTTACGTTTATGATCATCGATACGATGTCTATATATATCTCTATCCGTATAAAAAAATCGCCGACAATCCTTTTCAGGACACTTGAGTGTCGGTTCCGATCGGTGTTCGGCCAAATGACGTTTATAGTGTGAATTATGTTTGAACGCTTTGGAACAGCCGTCGGCATCGCATACATAGATCTCAAGTTTTGAATGTGACTCCCGATGATATTTGAGAGCACCGTTCGTTTTGAATGACTTACCGCAGCCGTCAATATTACAAACAAATGTCCTGTCAGTATGGTATCTGTTTTTATGCGTTTTAACCGATCTCGGTGAAACCGACTGATAGTTGCAACCTATGTAATCACATTTGTACATCGTTTCGGAACCGGATCCGTGTGCTGCCAATTGGTGATAGTCATAGGATTTTTGACTTTTGTACTTCTTGTGGCATTGAGGACAAGTGATCATACAAATGGACAGATGTTTACGATACTGCTTTAGTGTTCGCATTGTTTGCTGACAATCACTATTCAGACACTTATATCCTCCCGGTTTAGACCGAATTACCCGTTGTTTGTCTAACTGGTCATTGTTTTTGTCATTAATTGAGTTTATATTTATATTTCTTCTTATTGGTTGACTTGTGTCAGTCGTTTTCATAGATATTTGTTGATCACAACTGGGAATAACTTGTAATAACAGAACTTTCTTGTGATCTGAAAACACATGATCTGCCAGAAGATTAGGTGTTGTAAACATCTGCTGACAGTCTATACACTGAAACACAAGATTCGGATCTTTTTGGATATTACTTATCGAAGAACTATTGACTGTCTTGTCATTTGTAATGGATTTCAAATTATCTTCATTTTTGTCTTTTCTTTCTGTTAGCTCTTTCAGTTGACAATTGTTTTTCTTCAAATCATTCTTTGTCTGCAAATCAGTGTTTTGTTGATTAATACAATTATCTTGAAATACCAATCGTTTTTTATGACTGTAAAACATGTGATCAGTTAAAGCATTTCGTGTCAAAAATTTGTTGTCACAGTCCAGACAATTGTATTCAATAATATTATCCTTTTTATTACAAAGCAATGAAAGATTAAATGTCTTATTGTTTGACTGATGTCTCACAATATTTTTGTCTTTACTTAATATGTGATTATCTTTGGCCTTATTTTCTATAATTTCTGTATTATTTATTTCAACTATACTTTCTTCACGTCTGATATTATCATTCAATTGGATCCCATTATCCATCACTTCATTGTTCTCTATATTAATATATGTATTGGAATTGACTCGTCTTTCATCTTCATCCGTGTCTTCATCCAAATCATTGTCAAAATCTTGTGTATCACTCATATCATCACTAATTATGTGATTCATTGTTGTCTTTGATTTACATCTTTGTTCATTATCTTCATCTAAGTTGACATCATTTAAATGCAATCCTTTATCTCTTCTTTGATCACAAATATAATTCAATTGATGTCTTAAATGATTGAACTTGTCTTCAGTGTTCAGTTGTGTCTCAAACTTCTTGTAAATCAAATTCAATTCAGTTTTCAATTCATCCAAAATTTTGAGACATTTATTGGCAAACAATAACTCATTGAGAAGTCGTTTGTTTTCAGCCATTAATTGATCCACAATATCATCGACTGTCACAACCATTGATGTCATCATTCATTCAATACATTCATTCAATAAATTGTTTTAATTTGTAATACAATTGACATTCAATTCATTAATAATTTGTTTGTCATTTGAATTAAGTATAAAAACATTTCAATCATAAGTTTTGTTTGTTTGTAAACATTGATTGCGAGGGACTGTCAATACATTGAAAATACCACAAAAATATACTGAATTTAATCTAAACTATAGACTTTAATGTATTACTTAAGTATTGTTTAATTGCTTAATACTAATACTATAGTATAAAATTTAATATTATATACTGTAGTATACAAATAATATTTAATATTAATAATATATGTGAGAGCACAGAGGTTAGGGTTTGGATTGATGGGTGAAATTTTAATAAAAACTTTTTATATTAATTTATAAAATGAATTGAATGATGCAGTCGTTTAAATGATTTAAACAAATATTTTATTTATCGTTTCAAAAAGTGTTTAAAATAAAAGTACAGTAATTTAATCGGATAAATATTTTGAAAGTTGTGGTCACAATGTATTGAGTAAAACCTCTGTAAGCTCTGATTTTGGGTGTCCAGTGACTGGACTTATATATGAGTCACTCAAAGATTGTATGCCAGAGATGACCTCAATTTTATATATAAAATTCATGATAAATGTATTTTCATTGTATGGTATGTTTATAATTTACAATTATGTTAATTGAGATAAAAGTAACAATATTTTAGTTTTACAGTCGGTAAATGTGTTTCAACAATAAATGTAGTTATTGTTATAATAGTAAATACTTTTAGCATATTTGTACTGAGGTTTATAATGTCGTATCATATTTTATATTTAGTATAACTTTCACATTAGTTATGCTAATACTGGGAATGGTATCATAAAATATAGTTAAATGTGTTGACAATAAAATTAAACTACAATTATTTAGAGATATTTATAGTTATATGTGATAAAATCAATTGTATGAATATTGTTAATGTATTTCAGTATGTATTAGAGTGTACAGCATTAATATGTGCCATACATTTCGGTATCTACTGAAATGTATGGGTATATGTGTTCTATGTATATCAATGTGTAGTAGAATGTAAAGCAATAATATGTGTCATGTATGGGCATATGTTTTCAATGTATATCATTGTGTATTAGAATGTAAGGCAATAATATGTGCATACATTTCACTGAGAAAACACGTATGTGTTTAACTAAACAGATATCAGTTATTTAAATGACAAAAGTATTTTATTAAATGAAATGTCATTTTAAATATTGACATTTCATTTGGCGAGATTTTTCAATTTATTTATAATCATTTGTTGTTGTAATTTCATGCTGGGGATACGAGCAATTAATCAATTTTTTAATAACTAAATTAATTAAATAAATATATTTAATAAAAAAAATTAATACTTACTTATTTATAATTAGATGGTTTGAAAATAATTATATATGGTAGATATGTACCATTTAATTGATAATATTATATTATAACATATAGGTATAAAAAGTACCAAATATTGTCTATATGATTAGAGTAACTATTTATGTATATATTAAAAACGATTTTTTTCAAAACCAAAACAATAGAAATTCAAATAAAATAGTGTATGTATATGAATTTAATATTATTTTTTTACAATTTTTACAAAGTATCGATAATGTTATATAGTTATTATACACACTATTTTATTTGTATGTATATATTAAGTGTAATCTATGATAAATCTATGTGCTTGTGCTAAGTTTACTATTGTTTTAGTTTTGAATATAATATAACAATTTTAATGTTATACTTTATTGTAATGTTTATATGCAATATGTTAGCCAAATAAACATTGAATTATTGAGCAATGAATGTATGCTTTGTTAATACTATTTACATATAAGTTATTGTTATTATTGCTCTTTTAATTTAATGTAAAAAATTTTAAAAAAAACTTACTGTAAATTATAATTAAATGCAAACATTTTTTACTATATGTTATATGTGCTTATGATAAAAAATGGATATAATTATAATATAGTTGATTTTAAATGACTATTTTTCGTGTTTATTATTATTTACTGATATATCAATTAATACAATTTATTTTTTTTCTATTAAACTATTAAATTGATTTTTACAGTAAAAATATGGTTCATATGTCTCGACAAACATACAGTATTTATTTTGTTTAAAAAACATTAGACAAGATATTACATGAAAAACTTTTTTAAAAATAATAAAAATGATAAAAACAAACAATTTTATTTCGATTCAATTTCAATAGTATTTTTTGCAAAAATACTATATATATGATTTCAGTAAAAGTTTTATTAATAATAATTATTATTATTACTAATCTACAAATAATAATTGTATTTATCAGTGATTTTTAATATAAATTAATATACGGATTAAAACCCTAGCAATCAATTAAATCATATTTCATTTTTATTTAATTTTCACAAGTAAAGATCTTTTTTGTTAATTAAATATGATTTTTTGTAATCAATTAAAACTAAAGTACTTTATTAAGAGATAAATATTTATAAAATTTTATATTTAAATATATTTCTAAAAACATGTTAGATATTTTGTTCAAAATATTAATAAATTAACTTTAAATACAATTAAAACATTTATATTTAAATATATTTTTAAAATGTATGTTATTTATTATTATTATAATTGGGACAAAAGTTTAAAAAAACTTATTTTAAATATTTATTTTAAAAAATCATTTATTGAATTTTTATTATTAACATGGATAGGTCTGTAGTTTTACATAATGAAAGAGTATTGTTGCAAAATATGCAAACATACTTCAGTATCTTTTAATTTAATTTTAATGCACTTAAAACTAAATCATGATTCAATTGTTGGTGAATATTATCAATTAAATGGTACATATCTACCATATATAATTATTTTCAAACCATCTAATTATAAATAAGTAAGTATTAATTATTTTTTATTAAATATATTTATTTAATTAATTTAGTTATTAAAAAATTGATTAATTGCTCGTATCCCCAGCATGAAATTACAACAATTTGTCATTATTTAAATTGACATTTTTTGGTGCTTTAAAGTTAAATATAGTCAACATTTGTCATTTTAAAATTATATATTAATATATTTATTTTAATAAACGTAATATATAAAATAAATAAATATAATGATAAAATTTGATAATAGTAAATTAACATGATTATTATAATGCAATAAATAAATGATTATTGTATTTTTAAAATGTAATTTTTATTAAATTAATATAAGACAAAAATATAATAATAAATATATTTATGTACAATTTTTATATGACAACTATTGTATTTATATAATATAAACTCATGAGCACTGAAATTGAGACATTTTAAAAAAAGTTTAAATACTCATAATTTTTTATATATTATATTTACCAAATATTACGTCCAAATAATAGAGTAAATAAAATCCTTTAAAATGATATATCACTCGATATATCAAATGTAAACAAACATTTGATATACGCGTGTTTAAAAAAATGGTAGGTCCGGAAATCAACGCGCGTCAAACCATCCTCTGGCACTGGATCAACACCATCGACAGTGTCAAAGAAATCATCAACAAGACCGGGATAGCCAAATCAACCGTTTATAGGGTAATCAACAATATCAAGGGGGTAAAGGGTTCGAAAGGAAGCCAGGATCGGGTGCAGTGCCGAAACTGAACTCCAGTGATCGCTGGAGGATCAAACATTTGGCCATTAATCACGACCTCTGAAGTTCCACTACCATCGCAGCCGAAGCAGCAAAGAGAGGAAGTCCTCAAATTATCAGATGGACAAGGACTATTTGTCGGTCACTAAAGAAATCCGGGATCACCAAATGGCACCCGAAGTTGACCACAAACCTAACCCCACAACAAAAAGCTAATCGGGTACAATGGTGTCGACAAAACCGAAACAGGGATTGGTCACGGGTCGCTTTCACTGATGAGAGTAGCTTCCAAGGGAGAACCCGACCCTCAAAACCAACCCCAAAACATGGACCATCAATAATGGTTTGGGGAGGTAGTAGMGCGAGAGGGATGACAACTTTATCTTTCATAAGAGGACATCTCAACGCTTAGGGATACCAGGATGTCCTCCATGAGCATATGGGCTCTATTTGGTCTCTTTATGAAGAAGGGTTTGTCCTCCAGCAAGATAATGCCACCCCTCATACGGCCAGGAGCACCAAAGAGTGGCTAGAGAGAAACGGGTATGAGGTCTTACCCTGGCCAGCCAACTCACCCGACCTCAATCCCATTGAAAATCTCTGGAGATTKATTAAGGATGAGTTGGAAAGAAGAGCTGACCGCTCCATCGACAACTGGAAGAGGATAATCCAAGATATTTGGGATAATAAAGTCCCAAAATACCTGGATTCCCTCATCAACAGTATGCCGAACCGCTTTGAATAAATTAAATTATTAATATTTATTTTTGTATTTAATTTGATTTAATTTAAGTCTCAATTTCAGTGCTCCTGAGTTTATATAATAATAAATATGTATAAAAAATTATATAGAGTTTTTGACCTGATTTGCTAAAAAAATAACTAATTAAAAAATTTTAGTATTGAATCATTGATTACATACCTTGTTTATGATTAACCTCCTTAACAATTACGCAATTTCTGAAAATTAAACAAATAAAATACTGTATTAAAAAAATTATTTTTATTTTTTGGTAAAATTATATATAATTTACTTACATTACATTGAATTGATAGTCCATCGATTTTCTTAGTTATTGGTAGCAAATCTAGAGTAAATTTGATAAAAAAAAATAATTAATGATAATTTAAGTTATGATTGTATACAAACAATATTTGAGAAATAATATTGTTGTAAATAATTGACAAAAAATAGCAAATAAAAACAACACAAGTTTTATAACACGTTATTAAACTGTTTTATAAATATTTTAATATGCCATCTATTTATTGATAAAAATATAATTTTTTATTATATTTAATATAATTTTATAATTTCAATTTATTTTATGAAATTTGTCAATTTATAATATGACATACAAATAATTTATCTATATTTTTGTAAAGTTTGCGTTACTAATATATATTCTTGCAATAAAAACTACATTACAGGGGCTAAAAGGGGTAGTTATAATGTAAACTCTAATTTTAGATTAACAATATTAAAATCATGTTTTTAATAAGTTATTTTTAATTATAATTTTGTCAATTTATTAATTGACAAACTATACCTTGTTTTAAATAACATTTATTTATTTATAAAAATACTTTTGTCAAATATTAAAATAACATTATATTAACATTAAAATTATTAAAGCGCATGTCCTTTGTATGTATATTTTATTTATTATTTGTGTCGTTATTTAATTAGATATTATTTGTTTGTCAATTTTTAATATAACAAATATTAAATTTTTATTATACAACATAAATCTATGATATGAAGCCTAACATACATTGATGACAATGTTTTCTGAGTGTTCGGTAACTACCGAAATGTATGGCAACTATATTTTTAATGTATTTTAAGTCAAAATAAGTTCAATTATATAGTTTTAAATTTCTCAAACTTATGGCTACCTTACATATATATATATTTAAAAATTAATTTATAATAATTACATTAATTTTTACAGTATTATATTATTCAATAATATTAAATAATTAGTTTCATAAATCAACTACATTATGCAAATTCATAAAAACATTTTTTCATTAATATTTGTTTTCAATTTATTTCAATTTCTATTAATATATTCAAAACAAAAAAAATAAATTAAATTAAAATTAGGCAATAATATTATACAGTTCAGTGAAATCATTGTTTTTGGTGAACTTGTTTCATATGTTTGTAAATATTTGAATGATGAGCGCACCGGTACTCACATCCCGGCCAACGACAGGCAAATGGTTTAACATTATTATGAATATTCAAATGGAGCTTAAGTTTATGTTTATCGCCAAACCGTTTGCCACATTCAGGCCAATCACACCTAAAGTTTTTCTCTCCCGTATGGACTAACTTATGTGGATTCAGATCAGTTCCATAATAGTCACAACCCGGCCAATCGCACCGATGGTATAATCTTTTGCGATTTGGTCTAAATTTCCGTTTATGATCGTCGACACGATGTCTGTAAATTTCTTTATCCGCATAAAACAGTTTCCGACAATCCTTTTCGGGACACTGGAGTGTCGGCTCTGACATGTGTTCGGCCAAATGACGGGTATGTTTGTGCTTTTGTTTGAATTGTTTGTGAYAGCCGTCGACATTGCAGACATATTTCTTATCCAAGTGCCAGTCTCGGTGATAGTTTAAACCAACGGACGTTTTGAAAGACCTATTGCAGCCATCGATATCACAAACAAACGTCCTGTCCGTCGAATGAGTAATCGATTGGTGTTTACGAAATGCATACATTTCCGCTGTCTGATAGTTGCAACCGATATAATCACATTTGTAAGGGAATTCGCCGCCCAATCCGTGTTCTCTCATTTGGTGATTGATATATGCTATTTGACTTCTATACTTTCGGCCGCATTGAGGACAGTTGACCGCACATATCGAATGGTGTTTACGATATTCACAAATCGTTTTGAATGTCATCTGACAATCACTATTCAGACACTTATATCCACCCGTTTTAGACCAATTGGCTCTTTGTTTGCCTAACTTTTTCCGATCTAATGATGTCTGCGATTTATCTCGTGATGAGTCGTGACAATCACTATTAGTAGACAAATATGGATTAGTTGTCATTAATTCTTGTTTGTTGTCATCATTTGATTTGGTCTTCTTTTTACGTTTTTTCGGTTGACTTTTCTTTGTCGTTGTTTTTATTATTTCATTGTATTTTTCACTACTAATTGTTTGTGGTTTCAAATATAAGGATCTTTGTTGACCACAACTACTGTCAATAACTTTATTGTAATTTGTCTTAAGTTTCAAATTATCATTAATTTTGTTGTCTCTATAACTAATAATTTTTGTATTATTTAATTGATTTATTTGAATTACATTTTCATTTTCTTCAAGTCTGATATTATCAATCAATTGGATCCCATTATCTATCACTTGATTGTTCTCTATATATCTATTGGTTTTGTCTTGTATTTCATCAAAGTTGACATCATTTAAATGCAATCCTTTATCTCGTCTTTGATCGCAAATATTATTCAATTGATGTCTCAATTGGTTGAACTTGTCTTCAGTGGTGAGTTGTGTCTCAAACTTATTGTAAATCAAATTCAATTCAGTTTTCAATTCATCCAAAATATTCAGACATTTGTTGGCAAACAATAACTCATTGAGGAGTCGTTTGTTTTCACTCCACAATTGATCCAAAATGTCATCAATTGTCACAACCATTGATGTCATCATTCAATACATTCATTCAATGATTGTATACTTAATTGACAATCAATTTAATACTTTAAAACTTAATTCAAATATTTGTCTCAATATTTAATAATCAAATATTTTGTGTTTGTTTGTAAACATTGACTTCGAGGGACTGTCAATATATTGAAAATAATAAATTATTTAACATATTATTTATTAATTTACTGAATGGCATTATAATAATTATTATTAAAAAGTAATGTAATATTTATTTTTTGAAAAATTTATTGAAATAAGTATTTTACAAAATAACAAGTTAAAAAAAAAAAAAAAAAAAAATCAAAATCTTTAATAACGTATATATTATAATATTATATAGGTTAATAATCATTGTTTTTTGTGCACTTGTTTTATATGTTTGCTTATATTTGAATGATTAGCGCACCGGTACTCACATCCCGGCCAACGACAAGCAAACGGTTTAACATTGTTATGAATATTCATGTGTTCAATGAGTTTAAATTTGCCGACAAAACGTTTACCACATTCAGGCCAATCACACGCAAAGTTTTTCTCACCCGTATGTCTAGTCTTGTGTATTTTCAATCCTAATCCATAATAGTCACAACCCGGCCAATCGCACCGTTTGTATAATCTTTTGCGATTTTGCCTATATTTACGTTTATGATCATCGATACGATGTCTGTAAATCTCTCTATCCGTATAAAACAGTTGCCGACAATCCTTATCGGGACACTTGAGTGTCGGCTCTGACATGTGTCCGGCCAAATGACGGCCATATTGTTTCTTACTTTTGAATCGTTTGTGACAGCCGTCGGCATTGCAGATATATTTCTTTTCCGAATGTGTCGCCCGATGCGAGTATAGACCACTTGTCGTTTTAAACAATTTACCGCAACCGTCGAAATTACAGACAAACGGCCTCTTATTCGAGTGAGTAACCGATCGGTGATTTCGAATCGCATACAATTCCGCCGTCCTATAGTTGCAACCGATGTAATCGCATTTGTACGGCAATTCGCCGCCAACTCCGTGTTCTTTCTTTTGGTGATTGACATATGATCTCTGGCTTCTGTACTTTTTGCCGCATTGAGGGCATGTGACCACATATGTCGACTGATGTTTACAATACTCCCGAATCGATTTGAATTTCTGCTGACACTCGCTATTCAGACACTTATATCCTCCAGGTTTAGACTGGAGGTAACTGACAGGCCGTCTGTATGTCGATGACTGTTGATTGGTTGTCACTGATTCTTCATTTTTATTAATCTTACTGTTATTTTTGTCACCAATAATTGTCTGCGATTTTGTCTGCGATGAAGATATTTGTTGACCACTAGTACTGGGATTAACCTCTAATAACATTATATTTTTGTGATCAGAAAACATGTGATCAATCAGAAGATTAGATGATATAAACTTCTTCTGACAGTAGAAACACTTATATATCAGATTCGGATCCATTATATTATTTATTAGTAATATTGAATTGTTGACTGTCTTGTCATTTGTCTTATGGTTATTCAAATTAACTTTATTTCTTATTTCTTCAACATTGCTATCTTTACGGATCAAACTATTGTTAACTTTAGACACAATTTCTTTAGAAATCTTTTTATTTGATTGCCTTTTCTTCACTTGATTACTAATGATTTTATGGCCACTTTTTGTAACATTTTTGGCCATCAAATCATTGTTTGTATTATTCTTTGTTTGCAAATCAATGTTTTGTTGATTAATACAATTATCTTGAAATACCAATCGTTTCTTATGACTGTTAAACATGTGATCAGTTAAAGCATTTCGTGTCAAAAATTTGTTGTCACAGTCCAGACACTTGTATTCAATAATATTATCCTTTTTATTACAAAGCATTGAAAGATTAATTGTCTTATTGTTTGACTGATGTTTCAAAATATCTTTGTCTTTACTTAATGTGTTATTATTTTTGGCCTCATTTGCTATAATTTCTGTATTATTTGATTTATTTATTTCAACTATATTTTCTTCACGTCTGATATTATCATTCAATTGGATCCTATTATCCATCACTTGATTTGTTTTGTTTTGTCTATTTTCTTCATCGATGTCTTCTTCCAAATCAATGTCAAAATCTTGTGTTTCATTCATATCATCACTACTTATGTCATTCATTGTTGTCTTTGATTTACATCTTTGTTCATTATTTTCATCTAAGTTGACATCATTTAAATGCAATCCTTTATCTCTTCTTTGATCGCAAATATAATTCAATTGATGTCTCAAATGATTGAACGTGTCTTCAGTGATGAGTTGTGTCCAAAACTTATTGTAAATCAAATTCAATTCAGTTTTTAATTCATCCAAAATTTTGAGACATTTATTGGCAAACAATAACTCATTCATAAGCCGTTTGTTTTCACTCCACAATTGATCCACAATATCATCGACTGTCACAACCATTGATGTCATCATTCAATCAATCAATGATTGTATACTTAATTGACAATCAATTTAATATTAAAACTTAATTCAAATATTTGTCTCAATATTTTGTTTGTTTGTAAACATTGACTGCGAGGGACTGTCAATGCATTGAAAATAATAAATTATTTAACATTTTCACATAAATTAATAAATTTCACATTTATTTCCATACCATTACTATATTTTTCAATAAAAAAAATTGTACATTTTTACAAAAAAATATATAATTTTAAAATTTATAAAACATTGATTTTTTATACAAAATTATTAAATTAGTATATATTTGAAAAAAAGTTTTGTAACGAATTACATATTAATATACTACTAAAATATTTACAAATTTGGTTCAATTATAATTGAATTTTTAAAAAAATTAAACATATTTTGAGCACATATTTTATTAAACATTTTTAGAAATATATTTTAATATCTCTAGTAATAAGTTTTATAACATCTATGATATTATTCAGTGTTGAGTCTTATAGAGTATATTTAATTTATTAATCATTATTTTTGGTGAACTTGTTTAATATGTTTGCTAACGTTTGAATGATTAGCGCACCTGTATTCACATCCCGGCCAACGACAGGCAAACGGTTTAATATTATTGTGAATATTCATGTGTTCAATAAGTTTTTGTTTACTACCGCCAAACCGTTTGCCACATTCAGGCCAATCACACCTATAGTTTTTCTCTCCCGTATGGATTAGCTTATGTCGATTCAGATAAGTTCCATAATAGTCACATCCGGGCCAATCGCACCGTTTGTATAGTTTTTTGTGGCAAAATTTATGTTTATGATCATCGATACGATGTCTGTAAATATCTCTATCCGTGTAAAACCGTTTTCGACAATCCTTTTCGGGACACTTGAGTGTCGGTTTCGATCGGTGTTCAGCCAAATGACGGCCGTATTGTGACTTTTGTTTGAATCGTCTGTGACAGCCGTCAGCTGTGCAGACATATTTCTTTTCCGAATGTATCTCACGATGAATATCACAGTTGACCATCGTTTTGAATGACTTACCGCAGCCGTCGATATTACAGACAAATGGCCTGTCAGTCGAGTGTTTAATCCTATGTTGCCGAAGCATAGATGATGTCCCCGTCTCATAGTTACAATCATTGTAATCACATTTGTACGGCAATTCAATGGTTGACGATCCGTGTTCTTTCATTTGGTGAAATACATATGATTTCTGGCATTTGTACTTTTTGTCGCATTCAGAACAGTTGATTATACAAGTTGTCTGATGTTTACGATACTCCTGAAGCGTTTTGAATGTCATCTGACAATCACTATTCAGACACTTATATCCTCCGGGTTTAGACTGAATTACCCTTTGTTTGTCTAACTGGTCATTGTTTTTGTCATTAATTGATTTTCTTTTTCCACTTTTCGGTTGATTTTTCTTTGTTTTTATTAGTATTTTATTGTTTTTCTCTTCACTATCTGTTAGGCCTTTCAGTTTACATTTGTTTTTCTTCAATCGTATTACTAATTGTTTGTTTGACTTATGTTTTAAAAGATCTTTATTTCTGTTTTCTTTTCTTTCATTCAATTGTTTATCTAATATGTGGTTATCTTTGGTCTTATTTTCTATAATTTCTATATTATTTGATTGATTTATTTGAACTACATTTTCATTTTCTTCATGTATTATATTATCATTGAATTTGATTTTATTATTCATCACTTGTTTGTTCTCAATATTACTAAAAGTGGATTTGTCTTGTCTTTCATTTTCAACCATCCCTTCATATAAATCAATGTCAAAATCTTGTGTATCACTTATATCATCAATAATTATGTCATTCATTGTTGTCTTTGATTTACATCTTTGTTCATTATCTTCATCTAAGTTGACATCATTTAAATGCAATCCTTTATCTCTTCTTTGATCGCAAATATAATTCAATTGATGTCTCAAGTGATTGAACGTGTCTTCAGTGATAAGTTGTGTCTCAAACTTCTTGTAAATCAAATTCAATTCAGTTTTCAATTCATTCAAAATATTCAGACATTTATTGGAAAACAATAACTCTTTGAGAAGTCGTTTGTTTTCACTCCACAATTGATCCAAAATGTCATCAATTGTCACAACCATTGATGTCATCATTCATTCAATAAATTGTTTTAATTTGTAATACAATTGCTATTCAATTGACTAATAATTTGTTTGTTATTTAACTAACACTTCAATCAATCAAATGTTATGTTTGTTTGTATGTAAACATTGAGAGTTCAATTGTGGGGAATGTTATGTCATTTATAATGTAATGTATTTTAAATTTACAATTTGGCGGCAAAAATGTCATCACCTCATAGATACAAAATTTATTGTTTTTTTTAAATATAATTATTTTACAATATTAATATTATTTGGTCAAAAAAAATGTTATTAAAATTTAATAATTAGTTACTATTTTTACATGACTTTTAAAAAAATATATTAAAAACTATATAAGAAAAACAACAATAACAAAAAATTTATAGAAAGATATACAATAATTATAGCATTAATGTAAATAATATTATAATACATATGTGTACAATATTGTATATATTTATATATATTCTAGGTGAAATTATAATATATTGTCAAATTTATTTGTAAGCTATAGTAAAATATTTAATTGCAAATTTTTTTTAATTCAAATAATTTATTAAATTTTGCATTTTTAAAATTATTAATTTAAATAACTTACCGGTAGTTTAAATCCATGATAATCATTGTACCGATGCTTTTGTTTTGTGCACTTGTCTCATATGTATCAAAATATTTCTATTGTTAGCGCACCGGTAGTCACAACCGGGCCAACGACACGCATACGGTTTAACATTGTTATGTATATTCATATGATCGTTAAGTTTACGCAAATCCCTGAAACGTTTGTCACATTGTGGCCAAACACACGGATACCGTTTCTCTCCCGTATGAACTTCCATATGTTTGGCCAATCGTCTACCGAAATATTCACAGCCGGGCCAATCGCACCGTTTCAATGGCCTAATCATAAATTTATTATGAATCAACTTTAGATGCCTTTTCCGCTCTTTATCGGTAAAAAACTTTTCTATACATCCCTTTACCGGACATACGAGTATCGGTTCACTGCTGTGTTCGACCATATGTCTCATTAAACCATATTTATGTCTGAACTTTCGTTGACAGCCATCGACATCACATCTGATTACAATATTTTGATGAATAAGTGAATGTTTTTGTAAATTATCCGATGTTTTGAATGCTTTAGAACATCCACTGTTGGAACAGACAAATGTCTTAACGTCCGAATGTTTGCCATTGAGATGTACTTTCATTTGGTGATCGCTAAGACATTGAAATTGACAGTCAGTGTACTGACAATTCAACCACTTTGTTGTATCCCTTTCGTGATGTATCCTCTCGTGTGACCGTAGACTACCTTTTCCACAATATTTCTTATCGCAGCCATCGTAACGACACTTATATTTTCCACTATTTTTATCAAAAATCATTTTCTTGTTACGAATCTTTTTCATGGGTTTACATTTCTTTTGGTGCGACAAAAATATCTTTAAATTTTTGTAAGATTTGTTACAATTATTTAGTCGACAAATATATGAATTGGTTGTCGAGTCAAAGCAATCATTACTTGTAATCACTTTATTGTTTATACACTTATCATCAATTGTGAGGTCATCGCGACTAACTGATGGCTGCGGTTTCATCGGAGGTAAGAGTTTAACACTTTGTTGGTCACTACTACTACTACTACTACTATCAGTGATCAGTGTATCAGTTGATGTGTGGACAACAGTAACATCTTTGTGGTTATCAATGCCTTGATTATTGTCCACAACTTCTTGTATATCTTCTAAATCAGACTTAACCACAACTTGTGTATCATTTATATAATTTTTTGCTTCATTTGTATCGCTTATATAACATGTTTTCCGATTAATTTCTGCAAAGTCTTTATCGTGTCTTTGACTACAAATATAATTCAATTGATGTCTTAATTGGTTGAACTTGTCTTCAGTGTTCAGTTGTGTCTCAAACTTCTTGTAAATTAAATTCAATTCTGATTTCAATTCATCCAAAATATTCAGACATTTGTTTGCAAACACTAACTCTTTGAGAAGTCGTGTGTTTTCACTCCACAATTGATCCAAAATGTCATCAATTGTCACAACCATTGTTGTTATCATTCAATGTATTCATACAATCACTCAATGATTGTAAACATAATTCACATTCAATTGAATACTAAAAATCAATTCAAATATTTGTTTCAATATTCATAACAAACACTTCAATCATATGTTTTGTTTGTAAACATTAGCTGTAAGGGACTGTCAATGCATTGAAAATATTATAATATTAATAATTCAAAATATATTTATCGTAACAATTATTGTATAAATATAATTAAAAATATTAATTTTAAATAATTATTAATTCAAATTATTTCATTTTAATAAACTATAGACAAAATAAATGCTAATTTAATAGTTTTGATAAAATAAACATTTTAATTAGTTAATTAATAAGAATAAATCATATAATAAAACCACGGTTAAGAAAGGTTTTGGATTTTAGGGGGGGGGTAGACCGGGGTGAAATTTACAAAATTCTCGAAAAATCTTGGGGGGTATTGGGTGGGGTAAGATTTTTATTGCATTTTTAAACGGCAATTTTTTCAAAAATCATCAAAAATCAAGGGGTTCCCGAATATTCCCATGTAAATTTCATAAAATTCCCATAAGTTCCCGTATAAGTTCCTAGGAAAATAGGTAAAATTTCCAAAAATATAAAAAAAACTTAAATTTTAAGGGGGTCATTTCTCATGGTTTTTAAGCGACAATTTTTCTAATTTGGTCAAAAAGTCTGGGGGGTAAAATCCCAATTTCTCGATCTTAGGGGGGGAGTATTTTGGCCTTACCCCCCTACCCCCCTTACTTAACTCTGAATAAAACATATATTAAAATTACTTTTTCAACAATTTATTGAAATAATTATTTATACAATAATTTATAATTACACTTATTATTTTTATATTTAACATAAATCAATATACATTCAAAAATTAATGCTAAGTATAATAATGTCCATATAATTTATAGTTAAGTATAAAATCATTGTTTTTGGTGAACTTGTTTCATATGTTTGTTAATATTTGAATGATGAGCGCACCGGTACTCACATCCCGGCCAACGACAAGCAAATGGTTTAACATTGTTATGAATATTCATGTGTTCAATGAGTTTTTGTTTGCAGGCAAACCGTTTACCACATTCAGGCCAATCACACCTATAGTTTTTCTCACCCGTATGTATAATCTGATGTCGTTTCAGACTTAGTCCATAATAGTCACAGTCGGGCCAATCGCACTGTTTGTATATTTTTCTATTATTAGATTTAACTTTACGTTTATGATAATCTCTACGATGTATGTAAATCTCTCTATCCGTATAAAACAGTTGCCGACAATTATTATCGGGACACTTGAGTGTCGGCTCTGACATGTGTTCGGCCAAATGACGGCCATATTCTTTCTTACGTGTGAATCGTTTGTGACATCCGTCGACATTACAGACATATTTCTTTTCCGAATGAATCGCCTGATGCGACTGTAGATTACTTGTCGTTTTGAATGACTTCAGGCAACCGTCGATATTGCAGACAAACGGTCTGTCAGTCGAATGAGTTATCGATTCATGATTTCTAATCAAACCCAATGACGCCGTCTGATAGTTACAGCCGATGTAATCACATTTGTACGGCAATTCGCCACCCAATCCGTGATCTTTCATTTGGTGATTCACATAAGATCTCTGGCATCTGTACTTCTTAGCGCATTGAGAACAGTTGATCAAACAAGTGGACTGGTGTTTACGATACTGCCGTAGTGTTCGCAATGTTTGCTGACAATCGCTATTCAGACACTTATATCCGCCCGGTTTAGACCGTATTACTCTTTGTTTGCATATCTTTTTGTGATTAATATGTTGTAATAATAGGACTTTTTGGTAAAGTTTAGGTCCTTTAAAAACCATTGAACAGTTGCTACACTTATATACAACAATCGGATCCTTTGTATTACTTATTATCGGTAATAATAATAAATTGTCGTCATTTGTCTTATGATTATTCAAATTATCTTCATTTCTTACTTCTTCATCATTTCTATCTTTACGGATCAAATTGTCTGTATGTTTGGACACAATTTTTTTGCAAACTCTATTAATTGGTTGAATTTCCTTCACTTTTTGATTATTATTATTATTAATAATGATTTTGTCTTCAATTTTTATTAGTTTTTTATTTTTACATTTCTTTGCCATTAAATCATTGTTTGTGTTATTCTTTGTCTGCAAATCAGCCTTTTGTTGATTAATACAATTTTCTCGAAATATCAATCGTTTTTTATGACTGTTTAACATGTGATCCTTTAAACTATTTCGTGTCAGAAATTTGTTGTCACAGTCCAGACACTTGTATTCAATAGTATTATCCTTTTTATTATAAATTAATAAAATACTGTTTGTCTTATTGTTTGATTGAAGTCTCAAAATATCTTCTCTTTCATTCAATTGTTCTCCTAATATGTGGTCATCTTTGGTCTCATTTGCTATAACTTCAGTATTATTTAATTGATTTATTTGAATTACATTTTCATTTTCTTCAAGTTTAATATTATCAATCAATTGGATCCCATTATCCATCAGTTGATTGTTCTCTATATTTATATATGTATTGGTTTTGTCTTGTATTTCATCTAAGTTGACATCATTTAAATGCAATCCTTTATCTCGTCTTTGATCGCAAATATTATTCAATTGATGTCTCAATTGGTTGAACTTGTCTTCAGTGTTCAGTTGTGTCTCAAACTTCTTGTAAATCAAATTCAATTCTGATTTCAATTCATCCAAAATATTCAGACATTTGTTGGCAAACAATAACTCTTTGAGAAGTCGTTTGTTTTCACTCCACAATTGATCCACAATGTCATCAACGGTTACAACCATTGATGACATTGTTGTTATTACTATCAATTATTGTGAAACTGACAATCAATAGACAGTTATTTTTTAAATGATTTAATTAATTAATTTAGAAAATTATTTTTTTTTTAAACTTATTTATTACAAAATAATACTATTATTTATTTTCTATCAAATGTTATGTTTTGTTATTCAATATCATTGAATACATACTAATGTAAACATAGAGACAGTGAGGGACAGTCAATATATTGAGAAAAAAATTACATTAATTTATTGTATATAAATAATTTCATTAAATTTATATAACAATAACTTTATGTATTTTTTCCTCTCAATGCATTATGTAATTGTAATTCAATATAAAAATACTTAATTTTATACTAAATTGTTTGAAAGTATTGTAAATAAAATTTTTATATATTATAAAATCAAATGTCCATAATATTTAACATTTTTTATGTATATGAAATAGTAAATTGTATTAACAATCAGCTATCGATTAGCCCCATAAAAACAATTGAAATCAATATCTCTCTAATGATTTGTAAAAACTAAAACTTTAATAAAAATAATTATATTATATAACAGTATATTTGATAATTTATTTTGTTAATAAAATTTCAATGTTTTTTATAAATTAATTTTTAATTATTATATAGTTATGATGTTTATAATTGGTTAACTTTTTAATGATATTAATTTAATTATTTTTTAAAATATATAATACTTATATATATAAAATTTTACAAAAAAATACATTAATGCTGAACAAATAATTAATAGTATTATATAATTTTTTAGCTATATGTTAAACAGTATAAACACAATAAATATTGATTGTAATAAATGTTTATTGTTTACTTAATGAAAAAAATAATTTTGTAAAAAAAATAATTGCAAAATTTTAATAAATTATTTAAAATATGCTAAAAACAAATATTGCTATAATTAATAATAACACAAAAAACATATTTTTATTTTTCAATTTATTGATATACAGGTATATACTTTGTCATGCAATTAAATATTAATGTGTTTATTAACACAAATAAACAAAATAATAATAACTTATTAAATTAATTAATTAAAACCTATTGTGTATTTTGCAATATATTATTTTTATAAAATATAAAGTTAATAATTGAATAAATTAGTAATTTTTTCTATAAAAACATTATAGTTTGTCGTTTATTTTAACAGTATATCAGTTGCTATTTTTTTGCTGTTTTATTTGTCGTTGTAGAAAATATTATTAAATATTTTAATAATTTTATAAAATTGCAATAATTTGTTTATTAATATAAATATCAAATTGTTGAATCATTGAAATTATTTATTTTTTACTCAACATGAAATCAATAATAATTGTTTCATTAATTGTTATTTATTTCACTGGTATTGCTTATCAAACTGTAATAAAAGGTAATATAAATTTTTTTATATAAAAAATAATGTTTTATTTTTATTTAATTAAAAAAATAACAAATATATAATTTTTTATAATTTAAAATAATCAGATTGTAAAACTATAAAGTGTGATAAACCGGGAACCCGATGCCAATGTCAAGATCCTTGTCCGCCTACATGTGCTAATCCCGATCCAACTCCATGTCCATCATTGTGGTGTAATCCCGGTTGTTATCAATACTGTCCCGATAAACAAGTATTTACTGAAATCAACGGTAGTTGTATACCATTAAATCAATGTAAAAAGGGTTAAAAACTAATTATCTTATGAGTTAACTGTTAACTGTTAACCTATTTAAAATCATATATTTTTTTAAATATGAAAATTATTAAGCAAATATATTATTGTAATTATAAACATAATTTTTAAATAATGTTTTTAAACTAAATTGATGATAAATTAACTATTGATTTAATTTTATGTATATTTATGGATATTTTTTTACATTTTATTACTATTATTATTAGTTTTGATAATTTTATAATAAATAAAAATATATAATAATAATTTGTACCAAAAAATATATTAATATATTAATAAATAAATAAAGTTAATATGAATTTTTTCTTTCATCTCTCTCTCTCTCTCTCTCTCTCTCTCTCTCTCTCTCTCTCTCTCTGTGTGTGTATGTGTGTAACTGAAAATTATAAATTAAAAAATAAGTTTTTTTCAATATAATTTTAATAGTAAAATATTATAGCAATACATATACATGTATTTGTGATAAAATTGATTTAAACAATGCTATTAAATATCATGTATTAAGCAATTCATTGCAGTATTTCATTCAAAACTGTAGATCAAAACACTAAACACGTGATTATTATTTGTTTTGTTTATAAACTGTTTGTGAATTAAATGTCTAAACAATAATTGTGTCTTTAATTTGTTTTAGTATTGAATTGAATGTGATTTATGTTTACAATCATTGATTGATTGTATGAATACATTGAATCATGACATCAATGGATGTAACAGTTGATGACATTTTGGATCAGCTCTGGAGTGAAAACAGACGACTTCTCAAAGAGTTATTGTTTGCCAATAAATGTCTGAAAATTTTTAATCAATTAAGAAATGAATTGAATTTGATTTATAAGAAGTTTGAAACACAATTGAATACTGAAGACAAGTTCAATCATTTAAGACATCAATTGAATTTGATTTATCAACAAAATAGTGTTTACAAAGACTTGGCCATAGATGACGACATTAAGTGTCAATCGAGAGCTTCAAAAGTTGTCATCAATAGTGGCAATGGTGTGATAGATATACAAGATATCAGTTATTTACCGGAAGAGACAGTTATATGCGAACCACTGGACATACTTGTAAACGAAGTGGTCATCGATGGTACACAAGATTATGATAATAATCATAGTGAAGATGATGATGAAGATGAACAAGACGTACAAGAAATGGTTGTCAATAAGACAAATGTTGATTACAGTGATATCGAAGAAGAACAACAAACGACACCAATTCAATCAACTAATGAAATGATCGGCGATTGTGACCAACAAAATGATGGAAAAATTAGTCAAAAAACAGAAACTAACGCTAAGAAGATTAAAACCAAATCTATGTTTGCAAAAGTTGTCGACAAATGTGGCGCCAATTTCTTCAAGTGTTTAGTCCGCAATTGTGACAAAAAATTTAATAATATGAAAACATTGCGAAGACATCAACGAAATCAGCATCAAATTAGACGAAGCAAATTAGGAAGACATATATGTCATTACAAGAACTGCGACTATGAGACCAAAGTTGTCGACGAGTTTGTTAAACACATTCAGTATATCCATAGAGACGATCGACCGTTTGCTTGTCTTCTGGATAATTGTAAAAAAGCATTTAAAGAGATCAAAGATCTCAAAAGTCATCAAACGGTTCATATTAGTGATGATAAACAATTAGAAGAAGAAGAAGAAAAAGACAATAAAACTGATCCGTTATACGAAAAAATCATTGACTATTCTGGTGCTCATGTCTTTAGGTGTTTGTTTCGCGACTGTTTGAAGAAATTTTCGAGTATACCATCCGTAATACGACACCAAAGAGAAGGACATCATATTGTAAGAGCCATTACAGGAATAGGAAGAAATCGATGTCATTACGATAACTGTAACTTTGAGACAATATTTAGTCGAGATTTTATTGAACACATGAGTTATGTCCATCAAGACGACCGACCATTTATCTGTCGTATCGATGATTGTTTGACAGCTTTCAAAAAGATTGTCGATCTTAGAGAACATCAATCGAAATGTCATTTTAGTTTACCCGAACAGTCCAACAATGATTGTACAATAAAAGTCGATGACAACGATAATGATAATAAAGAGGACATTGTTTTGCAAGCAATCAATGAAGTGATTGATAATTATGGTGACGATCAAAGTGACAATCGATTGTTTGATAAAATTACCGACAATTCTGGTCACCTTATGTATCGATGTCTGTACAGTAACTGTTATAAACAGTACACTAGTCGTCAATCAGTTCTGTTTCATTGGAGAACAATACACGAAGTGACTGACAGAAGACAACGAAGCCATAAATGTCATTATAATGACTGCAATTTTGAAACGATAGTAATCGACGATTTCGTTACACATATGATTGATATCCATCGAGATTGTCGTCCATTTGTCTGTCGTATTGGCAATTGTGACGAAGCGTACAAAACATATTCAGAACTTAAGAATCATCAACTGATTCATTTAAGAGGTAAACAATTAAAAGAAACAAATGTAACACAAATTAATGGGGAAGTAGTAGATAAAAGTTGTGATCAATCAATGTCTTCAAATAATAGACAATCATTGACAACTGACAATGAGATTAATGATAATACTAATAATAATAAATTGTTTGAAGAGATTACCGATTCATTTGGTTTTACTCTAAGATGTCTTTATAATAACTGTTACAAAAAGTTTAAGAACAAACACTCATTATTTAAACACCAGAGACAGAAACATCAGATGAAAAGAAATAATTTATCCAAATATAAGTGTCAACAAAATGATTGTCAGTTTGTATCGGCAAATCTCAGTGAATTTGGTCGACATATGAAAGATGTTCACAATGAAGACAAACTATTTCGGTGTCATTATGATAACTGTAATAAATCCTACAAATATCGAATCGATCTGATCCGTCATCAATCATTACATAGCAATCGGTTGTTTCATTGTCCGGTCACTGCTTGTAATCAAGTTTTACCGACAGTTATCCAATTGAAACGACACTATCGTTTGTTTCATTTGCACAAAACCATTGAGTTTGTCGACGGCTCATTCAAATGCAGGTATCCTAACTGTAACCGTAAGTATAGACAAAAATCGGATGTCCGAAGACACCAGAGGGATGTTCACGAAGGACAACGACAACGTAAGAAAAGCAGTTCATTCAAATGCCATTACGACGGCTGTTCTGTTGATTGTCTAACCAAAGAGCGACTTGACAGACATATATCGTTGGTTCACTTAATGGAAACACCGTTTCACTGTACTATCGATGGCTGTCAGAAGGCATTCAAATTGAAACAAACACTGGACCGACACCTATTGGCCCACAACAAACAGGCACTAGTTTGCAGTTACGGTGATTGTAGAGAAAAGTTCAAATCTATGGTAGCATTCAGATATCATATGGAAGAACACACCAAAACGGCAACAATCAATTGTACAGAACCGGGATGTGAGCTAAAGTTTCTCAATAAAACACACTTGAAATGGCATAAGAGTACTGTCCATAGGATTAAAAAGCAATATTTGCATCGATGTCCATGGCCTGGATGTGACTATTACGGTAAAAATATTACTCAACACAAATCGGTTCACACTGGCGTCAAACGGTACGCCTGTATTTGGCCAAAGTGTGGCAAATCATTCAACAATCCCGGCGATCTCGAGGGTCATATGAATGTACATAAGAATATCAAGCCGTATGCCTGTACTTGGCCCGGATGTGACTACCGGTGCGCTCATTCAACTGGTCTACAACATCACCGTAAAATACATAAATAAAAAATAAGTAACAATAATAAAAATTTAAAAATATTTATATAAAAAAAATTATAAAAAATTTAAGAAACTAATTTTTATCATGTTATGTAAATTGTGTTTCATTGTCCAATTAATTTAGATTTATTTATAATTAATTATAATTTTTTAATAAATTTAATAAATAGTAGTTATATTACGGTTATAATTAGTTTTTCAAATACTTTTTATATTGGTATACAATAATATTAGTCAATGATTTATTACAATATTATTAAGATTTTTGTATTATCTATTGATTATCTAATGTAATCTCAATTACAATTAAGTGATGGCATAATCTGCAATCAAATCGGGAGCCGACAAACATGTTTAAAGACATCATAACATATTAATAAATAACAAATGTATTGCTATTATATATGTATTGTATTTTTTTAGTACATATACTATAATACCGTATGTATTATGCAATGCATTGGAAAAAATCAATATTCATTGTATACAAACATACACTAAACACGTGACTATTGTTTTGTTTATTATTATTATTATTATAACTGTAATAAAAATGTAACAAAAATATATATTCAAACAATTTATTGTGACTTTAATTATAAATAGTTATTGAACTAAATTTTTTAATTATGTTTATAATCATTGAGTGATTGTATGTATGTATGAATACATTGAATAATGTCACCAATGGTTGTGACAATTGATGACATTTTGGATCAGTTGTGGATTGAAAACAAACGACTTGTCAATGAATTATTGTTTGCCAACAAATTGAAGACATTTTTGTTGAAATTGTTTGACAAATATGAAGAACATATCGATGGAGAAGACAAACATGAGTTCAAACAATTGCAAGAAGTGATTAAAAATAGGATCCAATTGAGAGACAATGAGTATGAAGAGGAGGACAGTCATGTCGTGGACAGAAATATCAATGAAATTAATGTTTGCAATAGTAGTTCAACGGTTAGATCTACAGATAGTATGGGTAAAGTAGGATCAGATGAGACAAATATATATAAAAGAATCGGACAAGAAGTGTGTCAATTGAAGGTTAAGGGAAATGAAGATAACAGTCATATCCGGGATATTCAAAGGCAGACAAACGATGAAAATGTTGTTAAAAAATCATTAATACCGATAAAAATTGTTAAAATAACGACAAATAATGACCAGAAAGAAAGTTATCAATTCATACCAATGAAAGCGACGAACATAAGTGATGGCAGACCTACTGATAAATCAATTAACAATAAAATCTCTAATAATCATGATTTAGATGACAGACCGTTTGAATGTCCTATTGATGGATGTCTTAAAACTTTTAAGAGAAACTATGAACTTGTATTACATAATCAAGCATTTCATTCAAACCTAACTCCAAGTCAGAAGACTTTTTTGTCGAACAAAAAGATATGTAAATCCATGGAAAAGACAAACAATGAAAATGTTGTTAAAAAATCAATAATACCGATAAAAATTGTTAAAATTACGACAAATAATGATCAGAAAGAGAGTTATCAATTCATACCTGTTTGTCGACCACCAGTCAGTCAACCAGTTGACAGATCTACTGATAGATTGTTTAGATGTCGTGTTAATGGATGTCTTAAAACTTTCAAAAAAAACTATGAACTTGTATTACATGAACTAGAAGTTCATTCAAAAACAATTGGCTGCGAGTTTGATGGCTGTCGTCGAAAGTTTCGACTGAATCATGAAATGAAACAACATTTGGCCGAACATAACAACCAACCGAAACAAGTGATGGATAAATCTGATTCAGAAAATATACAAAAAGTTGATAACATTAATCAAGTAATCGATAAGCAAAAAGATGTTAGTGTTGTTCACAAATCAACTGATATTACGACAACTAACGACCAGAAAGAGGGTTCAATTATCACAAAAATCTATAATAAACATGATTTAGAAGACGGACCGTTTGAATGTCCTATTGATGGATGTCTTAAAACTTTTAAAATAAACTATGAATTAGTATTACATAAACAAAGAGTTCATTCAAACCGAACTCGCGGTCAGAAAATATTTTTGTCGAACAAAAAGATATGTAAATCCACGGAAAAGATTCAAAAGAAGAAAATGATTTTCGATCAAATTAGTGGAAAATATAAGTGTCGTTACGATGACTGCGATAAGAAATTTAATACGAAGAGTGCTCTTCGATACCATGAGAGGATACATCACGAAAGGGATACAACAAAGTGGTTGAATTGTCAGTACACTGATTGTCAGTTTCAATGTCTGCAAGGATCTAATATGAAAGAACATCTTAATTCCAAACATTCGGACGTTAAGACATTCGTCTGTTCCTACAGTGGATGTACTAAAGCATACAAAACATCGCGTAGTTTACGAATACATTCACTTATTCATACAAATACTGTACATAAATGTGTTGTCGATGGCTGTCAAAGAAAGTTCAGACATAAAACTAATTTGACGAGACATATGGCCGAACATAAGAGCGAACCGACACTTAAGTGTCCAGTAAAGGGATGTCTGGAAAAGTTCTTCAGTGATAAAGAGATATTCAGACATCGGAGGAAAGTCCACAATATAATGTATCGGAAAGGTATTAAACACAGATGTGATTGGCCCGGATGTGATTGGATCGGCTATGGTCTAAGTTTTCATAAAAAACAACATTTGGGAGAAAAACCATTTGTCTGCGATTGGCCTCAATGTGACAAACGATTTATAACATTGGGTAATCTTCAGAACCATTTGAATGTTCACAACAATGTTAAACCATATGTGTGTCTTTGGCCCGGATGTGACTACCGGTGCGCTAATGGGGGTAATATTATTACACATAGAAAAAGAGTACACGAAATGAAGTTATGAAATAATTAATTTTGATATGTTTTTTATATTTTATAACACAATAATTAATTATATTATATAATCAAACAATTTTATTGACAAAATTAATAACTTTCAGTTCATTGTTTATTTATTTATTTATTTTAGTACAAGTCATATATTTAAAATAAAATTTAATTTTATAATTTAATACAATTAATTGAGATAATATTCACAAAAATATATATAAATAAAATTACGTTATGTTAAAAAATTATTATCCAATTATTTTATTTCAATATTTTTTTTATAAATAAATGCCATATTATTAATATTTGAATTTAGAATTAATTAATAAAATTATATATTATATAACATTTTTTTTTGAAAAAAAATATTTCAGTTTAACTAACATCAGTAACTACAGTACTTTAAAGTCCATAAATATATTAAATTTAAAATTATAATTATAATACTTTATATAATATAAAGTTTATATACTGTTATAATAAACATTTGTAGATAAGCTAATGTTCCCCACAGTCAGTGAAATCAATGTTTACAAACAAAGTGTTTGTTTTGAATATTGAAACAAATATTTGAATTGATTTTTAATATTGAATTAAATTTGAATTATGTTTACAATCATTGAATGATTGTATAAATACATTGAATGATGACATCAATGGTTGTGACAATTGAAGACATTTTGGATCAATTGTGGAGTGAAAACAAACGACTTCTCAAAGAGTTATTGTTTGCCAACAAATGTCTGAATATTTTGGATGAATTGAAATCAGAATTGAATTTAATTTACAAGAAATTTGAAACACAACTGAACACTGAAGACAAGTTCAACCAATTGAGAGATCAATTGAATAATATTTGCGATCAAAGACATGATAAAGATTTTGCAGAAACTAATCGGAAAACATGTTATATAAGCGATACAAATGATACAAAAGTTGTGGATAAGTCTGATTCAGAAGATATACAAGAAGTTGTTAACAATAATCAAGTCATTGATAACCACAAAGATGTTATTGTTGTCCAAAGATTAACTGATACAGTGATCAATAGTAGTAGTAGTAGTAGCGACCAACAAAGTGTTAAACTCTTACCTCCGATGAAACCGCAGCCATCAGTTAGTCGCGATAATCTCAAAATTGCTGATAAATGTATAAACAATAAAGTGATTACAAGTAAAGATTGCTTTGACTCGACAACCAATTCATATATTTGTCGGCAAAATAATTGTAACAAATCTATCAAAAATTTGAAAATATTTTTGTCGCACCAAAAGATATGTAAACCCATTGAAAAGATTCAAAAAAAGAAACTGATTTTTGATAAAAATAGTGGAAAATATAAATGTCGTTACGACGGCTGCGATAAGAAATATTGTGGAAAAGGTAGTCTACGGTCACACGAGAGGATATATCACGAAAGGGATACAACAAAGTGGTTGTATTGTCAGTACAGTGACTGTCAGTTTCAATGTCTTAGCGAATACCCAATGAAATTACATCTCAATGGCAAACATTCGGACGTTAAGACATTTGTCTGTTCCTACAGTGGATGTTATAAAACTTTCAAAACAAAGAAGTGTTTACAAATACATTCACATATTCACACAAATACTGTACATAAATGTGATGTCGATGGCTGTGAAAGAAAGTTCAGTCAAAAAAATAAGTTGACGAGACATATGGCCGAACATAAGAACGAACCGACACTTAAGTGTCCAATAAAGGGATGTCTGGATAAGTTCTTCAATGATAAAGAGATATTCAGACATCGGAGGAAAGTCCACAATATAATGAATCGGAAAGATATTAAACGCAGATGTGATTGGCCCGGATGTGATTGGATCGGCTTTGGTCTAAGTTTTCATAAAAGACAACATTTGGGAGAAAAACCATTTGTCTGCGATTGGCCTCAATGTGACAAACGGTTTATAACATCGGGAAATCTTAAGAACCATTTGAATGTTCACAACAATGTTAAACCATATGTATGTCTTTGGCCCGGATGTGACTACCGGTGCGCTAATGGGGGTAATATTATTACACATAGAAAAAGAGTACACGAAAAGAAGTTATGAAATAATTAATTTTGATATGTTTTTTATATTTTATAACACAATAATTAATTATATATGATATAATCAAACAATTTTATCGACAAAATTAATAAATTAATTAAAGTTCATTGTTGCTATTTATGTATTTTTTTAGTACAAGTCATATATTTAAAATAAAATTTAATATAATTAATTTAATATAATTAATTTAATATAATTAATTTAATATAATTAATTGAGATAAAATGCCATATTATTAATATTTTAATGTATAATTAATTAATAAAATTATTTATTATATTATATAATATTTTTTTGAAAAAAAATATTTCAGTTTAACTAATTCATTAACTACTTTAAAGTATATAAATATATTAAATTTAAAATTATAATACTTTATATAATATAAAGTTTATATACTGTTATAATAAACATTTGTAGATAAGCTAATGTTCCCCACAGTCAGTGAAATCAATGTTTACAAACAAAGTGTTTGTTTTGAATATTGAAACAAATATTTGAATTGATTTTTAGTATTGAATTGAATTTGAATTATGTTTACAATCATTGAGTGATTGTATGAATACATTGAATGATAACAACAATGGTTGTGACAATTGATGACATTTTGGATCAATTGTGGAGTGAAAACACACGACTACTCAAAGAGTTAGTGTTTGCCAACAAATGTCTGAATATTTTGGATGATTTGAAATCAGAATTGAATTTAATTTACAAGAAATTTGAGACACAACTGAACAGTGAAAACAAGTTCAACCAATTGAGAGATCAATTGAATTATATTTGCAGTGAAAGACATGACAAAGATTTTGCAGAAATTAATCGGAAAACATGTTATATAAGCGATACAAATGATGCTAAAGATTATATAAATGATACAAAAGTTGTGGATAAGTCTGATTCAGAACATATACAAGAAGTTGTGGACAATAATCAAGTCATCGATAATCACAAAGATGTTACTGTTGTCCAAAGATTAACTGATACAGTGATCAGTAGTAGTAGTAGTAGTAGTAGTAGTGACCAACAAAGTGGTAAACTTTTACCTACGATGAAACCGCAGCAATCAATGACCGACAATCGGATTCATATTAAACCCCGATTTTTGATAATACGTCCCAATAATGTTGGACACAAAGTGTCTGATTTTAAGACAAACTCATTAATACAACTAAAGACAACTAAATTATCATTAATTAGTTTATCTAATAATAATAATAATAATAAAGTGATTACAAGTAGTGATTGCTTTGATTCGATAACCAATTCATACATTTGTCGGCAAAATAATTGTTACAAATCTTACGAAAATTTTAATAAATTTCTAATTCACAGAAACATATGTCAGTCAATGGAAAAGATTGAAAAGAAGAAATTGATTTTAGATAAAAATAGTGGAAAATATAAGTGTCATTACGAGGGCTGCGATAAGACATTTTGGGGAAGAGGTAGTCTGCGATACCACAAGAGGTTACATCACGAAAGGGATACAACAAAGACATTGAATTGTCAGTACACTGACTGTCAGTTTCAATGTCTGCAAGAATACCAAATGAAAATACATCTCAATTGCAAACATTCAGACGTTAAGACAATTGTCTGTTCCAACAGTGGATGTTATAAAACATTCAAAACATTGCGTAGTTTACGAATACATTCACTTATTCACACAAAGACTGTACATAAATGTGATGTCGATGGCTGTCAAAGAAACTTCAGATATAAAACTAATTTGACGAAACATATGGCCGAACACAGGAGGAGTGAACCGACACTTTAGTGTCGGTGGAAAAAAGGATGTCTGGAAAAGTTGTTCAGCGATAAAGACAAACAGTCATCAGTACAGAAAAGTCCATAACTAATGTGTGTCAGACAAAAATTAAACACTAATGGCTAACAGCTAATGGGGGGTAAATTAATATGATTTTAATTTAAAATTTTTAAACATAGAAAGGGAGTACACACACAAAAATTATAAGGAAAAATGTTTTTAATAATACAATAAACGTAATTATAATTATATAATTAATTTATTCAACAAAATTAATAATTTTCATATCATTATTGCTATTTATTATTATTATTTTGTTGTTGTTGTTGTAGTACAGCTCATATACAGTATATATATTTAAAATTTAATGCCATTTAAATGTAGAATTTATTAATAAAATTATAAATTATATAACATTTTTTTTTATTTTTAAAAATGTATTGATTTTACTAATAGCTGTTAACTATACTGTATAAGTAATAAATGTGTATTTTGTAGATAAGCTAACGTTCCCCTAAAAACAAGTCAAGTGTTGTTCAATGTTTATAAACAAAACTTATGATTAAAATGTTTTTTTTTTTAAATAAATATTTGAATTGATTTTTATTATTGAATTAAATTTGAATTATGTTTACAATCATTGAATGATTGTATGTATGAATACATTGAATGATGACATCAATGGTTGTAGTCGTTGATGACATTTTGGATCAATTGTTGGCTGAAAACAAACGACTTCTCAAAGAGTTATTGTTTGCCAATAAATGTCTGAAAATTTTTGATGAATTAAAAACTGAATTGAATTTGATTTACAAGAAGTTTGAAACACAACTCATCACTGAAGACAAGTTCAATCATTTGAGACATCAATTGAATTTGATTTATCGACAAAAACGTGTTGAGAAAGACTTGGCCGCAGATGACAACAATAAGTATAACTTGAAACCAGCAAAAGTTGTTATCACTTCATGTGGTAATGATGTGATAGATATACAAGATATCAATGGTTTATCCGAAGAGCCATTAGTTATATGCGAACCACAGGACATACAATTACACGAAGTGGTCATCGATGGCACACAAGAAGAAAATGTCGGACACTATGGTCAACATGTTTTGGATATCATAAGCGGTGAACAATTTGAAGAAACAGTCGTTGAAACACAAATAGATGATGAAGTAGTGGTAGTCGATGACTGTACGACTCAATCAATGTCATCAACAATTGGACACTCAGTGGTTAACAATAAAAATCAAAACAAAACTAAAAATAATCAATTGTTTGAAGAGATTACCGACTTATCTGGTTATACATTGAGATGTCTATACAAAAACTGTTATAAAAAGTTTAGACTTAAAAACACATTACTTCATCACCAAAGCGCCAAACATCACATCAAACGAAGAAAATTAATTAAACATAAATGTCATTATAATGGCTGTCAGTTTGGATCGACAAATGTCACCGAATTTGTTAAACATATGAAAGATTTACATCAAGAAGACAAACCATTTGCCTGTGATTATGATAATTGTGATAAAAGTTATAAGACTTTTGCTGATCTCAGGAGCCATCGAGAGGATCATTCAACTTATAGACAATTACAAGAGACAAATGATACACAATTAGATGATGAAATAGTCGAAGATACGGAACAAAGTTGTCAATCAATAGCTAAACAATCGTTGATTAATAAATCAAAGACAGAAACTAATCAATTGTTTGAAGAGATTACAAATGATTCTTCTGGTTATATGTTTAGATGTCTCTACAGAAAGTGTTACAAAAAGTTTAGAATCAAAAACACATTACTTCATCACCAGAGCGCCAAACATAACATCAAACGAAGAAAATTAATTAAACATAAGTGTCATTATAATGGCTGTCAGTTTAGATCGAAAAGTGTTCTCGAGTTTGATAAACACATGAAAGTTGTTCATAAAGAAGACAATCCATTAATGGCTGACATTAAGACTAATGCAAATCAATTGTTTGAAAAGATCAATGACTCTACAGATGGTTATATCCTAAGATGTCTGTACAATGGCTGTTACAAAAAGTTTAAGATCAAAGAGACATTACTTCGACATCTGACTGCTAAACATTACATCAAAAGACGTAATACAATTAAACAGAAGTGTAATTATAGTGATTGTCAGTTTGTATCCGAAAATGTCAGTCAATTTGCTAAACACATGAAAGATGTTCACAAAGAGATCAAACGATTTGCCTGTCATTACGATAGTTGTAACAAATCATTCAGATGTCAAAATGATCTAAAATTGCATCAAAAATGGCACATAAATGTCAAACGATTTGCCTCATCGGTGGTCAGCGACAATCGTCGAGTAGTATTGCCAACAGTTGTCAATAAAACTGTTAAACAACACAACCGATTAAACCATAAAATCATTGATGACACCGCAGATGATGATGATGTCGAAGTGGATGATATTAATAATTATCATATGATTAATAGAAGTGATGAACAATTACAAGAAACAAATGAGTCGCAAATAAGCAATGATGACGATGTAGTTGAAGATGGTGTCAATAGTGTCCAATCATTTATTGACAACCATATTAATATCCTATTTGATGAGATTGCCGACTCTTTTGGTAATAAGTTTCGATGTCTTTATAGAGACTGTTACAAGAAGTTTAAAATGAAAAAAACATTACTTCGACATCTGAAAGATAAACATGATATCACAAGACGTAATTTAATGAAACAAAAGTGTCGTGAAAATGATTGTCAGTTTATAACCACAAATGTTCGCCAATTTGTTAAACACATGAAAGATGTTCATCAAGTGATCAAACGGTTTGATTGTAATTACGATAATTGTAACAAATCTTTCAGATGTTCAAATGATCTCAAACTGCATCAAAAATGTCACATAAATGTCAAACGCTTAGACCATAAAACCATTGACGACAATGCAAATGATTATGATGTCGAAGTGGATAATATTAATAATCATCATATGATTAATACATGTAATGAACAATTACAAGAAACAAATGATGACGAAGTAGTTGCAGATGATGTCAATAGTGTCCAATCATTGATTGAATACAACGATATGAATACATTGTTTGAAGAAATTGTCGACTCTTTTGGTAATAAGTTTCGATGTCTTTATAGAGACTGTTACAAAAAATTTAGGATCAAAAACACATTGATTCGACATTTGCGAGATAAACATGATATCAATAAAAATAATGGACAGAAACATCACTGTCCTGTCAATGGTTGTCAACGAGTTCTGTTAACAAAGTTTAAACTGAAACGACACTTTCGTTTGTATCATATGCTCGAAAATGTTGAGTTTGTCGACGGCTTTTTCATTTGTAAGTATCCTAACTGTAACCGTAAATACAAACGCAAACACATTGTCCAAAATCACCAGCGATGGGAACACGAGGGACAGCCACGACCTAATTACTACAACAAGAAGAACTATAAATTCAAATGTCATTACGACGGCTGTACTCATAGTTGTCTCACTGAAGATCAACTTAAGAGACATATATCGTCAGTTCACTTATTGGAAACATTGTTTCACTGTACTATCGGTAGCTGTCAGAAGGCGTTCAAATTGAGACAGTCGTTGGACAGGCATGTGATGGCCCACAACCAACAGACACTGGTCTGCAGTTACGGTGATTGTAGACAAAAGTTTACAACAATGATAGCTTTCAGATATCATATGCTAGAACACACCAAAACAGCAACAGTTAAATGTACGGAACCGGGATGTGAGCTAATGTTTATCAATCAAACACACTTGAAATGGCATAAGTGTATTGTCCATAGGATTAGAAAACAATATTTGCATCGATGTCCATGGCCTGGATGTGACTATTATGGTAGAAATATTACTCAACACAAATCGGTTCACACTGGCGTCAAACGGTACGCCTGTGTTTGGCCAAAGTGTGGCAAATCATTCAACAATCCCGGCGATCTCGAGGGTCATATGAATGTACATAAGAATATCAAGCCGTATGCCTGCACTTGGCCCGGATGTGACTACCGGTGCGCTCATTCAACTGGTCTACAACATCACCGTAAAATACATACAAATAGTGATGTACCGATTGCAAAATGCGCAATTGCATTGGTCGGAAATTGCGTGAAATTGCCGCAATTGCATAAGGCTCGATTGCGAAAATCGCAATTGTAACATAGAACAATTTATAATTTTTTAAAAATTAACAAAATTTAAATGATAAAGCAATGTGAATAAAAACATAAATTAATTATATTAATTTTAATTATTTAATCATAAAATGTTGCCATCTAAAAACCATGTAGAAATAATAATAAATTAGTAAATTATCTTAATCTATAGTAAACCCAATTTTTAACATTGTCAAAGTTAATTTTTATACATTCCCTCATGCGCGCAATTTCAAGCAATTTCACGCAATTTTCCGCAATTGCGGCAATCGAAAAATGAATTGCGAAAAATTACCAACACTACATACAAATCATAAAAAACGCAAATAATTTTACAATAATTGTTTGTATATTTTCTTAATAGTATTTGCATTAAATGAAAATTTCAATATATTTTCCTTATATACCTGTATTACTACATGTTTTATTAAAACTGTATTGAAAAACGATATAATATTATTGAATAAATTTTTCTGTTTTGTTATATATATTTTTTTGAATAGTAAAAATAATTTTGTAATTAATATTTTTAATTAAATAAAAATCTAAATAAAATTCATTAACCCTTTTTGTTGTTGCATCGACTGATTGGTACACAATTACCGTCGGGTTCACTTAGTACCAGTCCATCCGTACAAAACTGATTGCAACCTATAGTAGCCGGACGTCTGGTACAGTCATTGCTTGGATTAGGTACAGCACAGGTAGGACTACAGGCATCTTTGAAACCACAGAATATACCCGACGGACACTTAATGTGTCGACATTCTGTTGTAATGGTAAACGTGTATTAAAAAATATATATATTTTTAAAAAAAATTA